AGGGAGGCAGTTACCCGCGGCAGTTTAGTGTTGTGCAACGCTGCCTTGGCGGCCAGTGAAACGGCGTCGTGCAGGTTGCCCCCACACTCGAGGATCTACAAATGAAAGCTACATAAAACATGGACATGGGGAACCAGTTTTTACCTACCAATATGTCGATATAGAGCTTCCAGCACTGTTGCCCCGGTATAAGGCACAAGGTGCGATAGTCAAAGGCCAGCGGAGATTCGTAGGCATTTTCCAGCGCGAGCACCAGCTCCTGGGCCAGGTCTGAGCCGCCACGTCCCTCAAACTCTGGCGTGGCATTAGCGGAACTGCAAAGATAACAGATGTAGAAGGCAGACTGACTATAGCAATCGCTGAACCTACCAATCCACAAAGAACTCGAGTTTGCCGAACTCTGGGGTTAAGGGATCGGGCACGTCGATCTCTGTCTTGATGCCCACGAGGATGTCCGTGTTGGCTAGGCGCAGGCGGGCCGAACCACTCGCATTGCTCACCAGCGCTGTCTCCAGCTCCATGGGCCGGTAATCACGACGAGACCGTCCATCACATCGAAAATCCTCCTGGGGGTAGAATGGTAGCATTAATTGCAGGCTACATGAAGGATGATCGTAACTCACCTCTACGCCATGCAGTATAAACGTTTTCTCAGCCTCGCTAAGTGCAACGTACGCCATAATTAGTACAAAATTTTTTCAAAATTCAACCAAAACAAACAACATGTGCACTGCTACTATCGATAGACGCGGGTAAACGCTATCGATGTGCGTGACTGTTTACCACCATTTAACAGCACTGACTGATACTTTTGAATGCTTTGCAACACTTGTCGAAAACAAGCCAGTCATTTCGTGCCGCTTTTCCCAGAAAATTGTAAATTGTATTGTAACCACCGAATAAACAGCAAAATAAAATGGTTTACGAGATGGACTTTACCGACACCCCTGTCAGCACTGGCGTAAGTACCAAACCGAGTTCATGTAAAACCCCCTAAACTAAAAAACTTCGTTCTTTCGGACATTTGCAGACCACAATCATGGCCGTCGAATTCGACGGAGGAGTTGTGATTGGAGCTGATTCCCGTACCAGCTCGGGACCATATGTAGCTAATCGTGTCACCGACAAGCTGACTCGTATTACAGACAAAATTTACTGCTGCCGCAGTGGCTCTGCCGCCGATACTCAGGCCATTGCCGACATTGTGGCTTATTCGCTGAACTATCACGAGAACCAGACCAACAAAGACGCCCTGGTCTTCGAGGCTGCCTCAGAGTTCCGCAACTTCTGCTACAACTACCGCGACTCCCTGCTGGCCGGCATCATTGTGGCCGGCTGGGATGAGCAGCGCGGTGGCCAGGTGTTCAGCATCCCATTGGGTGGCATGCTGACCCGCGAGCCCTGCACCATTGGCGGATCGGGATCCAGTTTCATTTACGGCTTCGTCCGAGAGCATTTCCGTGAGGGAATGAGCAAGGAGGAGTGCGTGAAGTTTGTCAAGCAAGGTAAGAAGTGAGTCCCACGAGTCAAACGAATTTGAATTAATCCATCGTGTCCCCTCCACTCTCAGCGGTTCAACATGCCATCTACCACGATGGCAGCTCTGGCGGTGTGGTGCGCGTCGGCATCATCACAAAGGATGGTGTGGAGCGTCGTCTATTCTACAACACCGAATCGGGCGAGTCCGAGGTAGCGGGCACTTCCGAGGTAGCGGGCACCGGCAGTTCTATTCTCGTTGAATAGTCGAATGGAATGGATTCAAAATGTAACTAAGATCTGCTTTGAGGACGTTGAAAACGGTCGTCAGGGAAATAAAATTTGGTTTTTTGTAATGATTATAAATGTGTTTCTGCAATGCTCCGATTACACTTTCCTTGATTTTGCTTTATAAACTACAAAATGTATTTTATGAGAAGTTTAAAATTTTTCTTTACACACACAAAGGAACAAAAATAACTATAAAGTAACTAACACTTGAACTAACAATTAAACACGGGCAATTCCAAGTTACTATTTATTCATCGTCGTGGATTTCAATTGGATCATCCTCTATTTCATCCATACTCTCAATGCTCGTCTCACTTGCTGGATTTTTCAGATAATCGATTTCATCTTTTAGGTCCTCAATTTGCTCTTCGTAGATCCGCTTTTGTGAGTCCAACTGCAAAAGTGTATGTTTTGTTAGCGACTGCAAACCATATGGAATGGGCGTACAAACCTTAAACTCAAACTCTCTTTCGGCCATCAGTTTCTGCTTCTCGGACTGCTCTTCCCATTGCTTCTTGTTCACCCGGATCATCTCCTGGAACGTGTCCGTAAGCTCCTTTCGCAGCCTCTCCTCCAGCAACTGCATCTTCAGCACATGATCGAACTTCAAGCGATCGATCTCTTCCCGCAAACTGTGAGAATTAAATGTTAGAGTTTCCCCAGAATTAATTACCATTGCCATACCTGATATTATCCTCTTCCAACGCTTTGATGTAATCGTACTGCCCATCCGCTTTTGGGTTGTCAAAGAATCCAGAATATCTGGTACTATGCTGCTTAATCATGGGCTCTTTAAAGACGATGTTCTTCGCTATGGACGCGAAGTTAAGCACGTTCAGGTTCTCCTCATAGTACTTCTCCAGCGGTGTGACAGTCACTATCATGGCCAATCGTTCCTTTCCGAGCAGAGCGGCTTGCAGAAGCATAGTTAGCTTCGAGTCGCGAAATGGTATAACGTCGGTGCTGGACTTCTTTCGCGAAGTACTGGCCGCATCCAGACAGCGTCCCAGTGTCATGAGGGAGGTGTTTATGTTCTTCGCCTCCTTGAGTCGCAGCCCTATGGTGCCTGTGTTGTTCACACGTTCTGAGCCCGCGAGATCGCAGAACTTGTACGAACATTGAGTGGTCATGCCCGAGCGGCTGTACTTCAGCACATCCACGGTGAAGACACAGTGCGATCTGCTGGAGTTTGAGTTCACCGATGTCGAAGCATAGGTGGAACGCTGCTGACCCAGCCGCAGCAGACGCAAGGCTTCCTCGCTGCTCTTCACGAACACGGTGGTCAGACCCTTGATGAACACTTGACCTTTATTGCAGGCGATCTTCAGGGGCTTTCGTTGCACAGCACCAAGATTGTCTTGACGCGGCGGTATGCTCAGTAGGTCGTATACCAGTTCATTGTAGATCTCGACAAAGGATACCCAAATCATAACCGAGAGATCAGGCTCTGTCTTCGTCTCGAAGGTGTGATCGCTCCTAATCTCCTGCCTCAGTCGCTCGTGCTGGGCGTTAATATCCGGGCACAAGTTGAGCAGTTTCATGCTTATTTGCATTTCCCGAAGAGTGGCGTCGTCTTGCAGGAAGACAATGCACCCGTTGATTAGTTTTAGCTTGGGCGTACTATACAAATTGCCCAGATAAATGGTGAATATATGCTCTAGGCCTCGGGGTATGACTCCAGCTCGCAATTGATCACCTACAAGAGATAGAACCACATGAATAGTTGCATCAGATCTGACGGTAAGATGTCGAACATACCCAGCAATGTGTATGTTTTTCCCGAGCCTGATGTGCCATATGTCATTATCGTCACACATTCCTCTTCCAGAATTCTGGGACCGACACACATGTCGTAGATGTCCCGCTGCCCAACCGAGCCATCGAAAATGGATGTGAATCCAAAATGCTTCTCCATTCTGTTGACATTGTTGCTGCTGTTTTCACTCTTTGCGCTGGTAATCAGACATTTGCCATCTTCGGATAGCGAGTATCCTGTGGATGCAACACTCACGGGACGCAGACGCAAGAACACCTGAGGGCCAGTATCCACCTCACTGCTATCATCCACACTCGTTGCATCGTCCCCAGCATTGGATGCGTATTCTGATTCAGTGTCTGACCCGTCTGTGCTCTCTGTTGATTCATGGATATCATCAAACAGCCGCAACTGTTTGTGTGGCCTGGGTCGAAAGCGCCGGTCCACACTGGGATCTCGTGCCATAATAAAGGAGCGCTTCTCCCGCATTGGTCCTTCATTCAAATCGCTCATTGTTAGCTATGACGGATTCCGTAACAAAAACAGTGGCTTAGCTTAATTTAAATTTTTATTTTGAGTTGATTCGCGCGTTTTTTTAGACGCTTCCAGTAGGGTTGCCGCTGTTTCAAATAATATTTATCGACAGCTGTTAAAATAGAGGGGGGCTAACTGGGTTGTTAGTTTTTTCGTTTTGAGTAGTTATATGTCTGTGGTATTGTGTTCTAGGGCTCAAATGTTAAGCCCAAAAATGAGTCGGCAAAGCACAACCGAAACTGATGAATCGGATAAAATTACAGTTTCAGCGCGGAGCCTCCTAACTAGCTAGTAATATTAAGCAAAACATCAAAGTCGAGGAATCTGATTTAAGACTACTTTATATTTTGAAGATGCAATGGTATATTTTGGTATGCTGACGAGGCCCTGTCGAAACCGGATTCTAGCCGGTTGTTGTAAAGATAGAAGAACTGCCCCCAAAGCACTCCAAGCTTATAATATATACTTATGTTCCTTTTTCCTTTCAGGAAACAATATATTTGTATTCTCTTATCTTCCTCTTTTGTTGCGCGCGCTATTTTTAAACAATTATCAATGTTATCAGTTAATATACATACGTAGTGTCTCTATTAATAACTTACATACATTTACATACTGAAGAAAAGCAAACTTGTTTCCAAGGGGGTGATTTGAATTAAATATTCAAATAAAAATTTGTAAAATATGAGGTCATAAGATATAAAGTCCAATAAAAAAGAGTATTTATATTAAGCAAAATTGATACTTCAATCGGTTTAAATTATTGTTTCAGTGGTGAAAGTCTTTACAAGCTAGTAATATCAAATATAACACAAAAATCGAGGAATCTGATTTAAGACTACGGTATTATTAAGGTATATTTTTAAAATGCAAGGGTATATTTCGGTATATTTTCGAGGCCCTGATAATTACGCGGTCACACTGCTGTGCACGTGTCGTTCTTTAAATTTTGTTCGCCGCGATGAAGAGTTTGATTTTGATTTTGTCCTCAATACTTAATTATTTAAACAAGATGGTAAGTTGTGGTACATTATAAAGTGGTAGATAAATGCGGCTACTATTCCATGATGTTTTACCTATACCGCCCCAGTCTGAAAAGACGTGTTGATTGGTTTTCAATTCTGACTACAAATGCCACATGCCGATGAGAAAATTTCGACAAATTTGATGAAAATGAAATTGAATGTTGAATGTTTCGTTTCATTTACAGAAAGCCATGCGGTAGTGTTAATTGTCTGCAATTGGATACTGATTACAATGTAGTCCAAGAATATTTGAAGAATTCACCCGGCCGGTCTTGTGCTTTCTGGTCCCACGTGTTGCTGGAGCAATATGTAAGGTTAGTTTCGTTCAGAAATGGATGTGAAGTTTTTGTTACTATGATGCTAAACATATACCGCCCCAGTCGGAAGAATAATGTCGATTGGATTTTTTACTGATGCTTCAATAGCTTTAGTCATCATAAAATTACGCACATGGATTGGTTTTAACCTCATTCTGTTCGTTTTCAGTGACACCTACTGTACTCTTGCACCAGAAATAGAAAGACAGCCTGCCGGGATGTCAAGCCATGATCAAAGGTGAATAAAAACTTTAATTGCACAAAATGCGATGTACTTTCTATGATGACAAACCAATAGACAAGCATATAACCGAACAATTATGTTGATTTTCAAAGGACTGACTCTAGAAAGTACTTCGAGTGCTCAAAAACGTTTGAAAATATGCTAAAAAACCGTCTCTTTTCAGGTGGCAAAACGTGGAGAAATTGTAAGAAACGGAAAGGATTCAAATGGTAAGCATCTGAGTATCATCTGTGGTACCCCTTTAGACAGTGATGAACACCTTATTTAAGCCAAACAGTTATCCCTGTCATAAGATTAATTGATGATGCATTAAGCTGATTTTTTCAACATATATTTGGCAGTTTTTCTATAATTTGCTAAGTATTAACTCGAAATTCTCTTCCTTACAGATTTCTCTTACATTCACGAATTGGGGAAAAAGTAGGCCGCAAATTTAAGGTACGTTTGGAGCACGTTGCATCCATCAGTTATTTCGTTTATGATGAACACCTTATTTAAGCCAAACAGTTATCCCTGTCATAAGAATAATTGATGATGCGTTAAGCTGATAAATCCGCTTAAAATTGTGTATTCTCTATTTAGATACCTGAATACCTATTAATAATGCATTTTCTCTTTGCAGTTTTCTTTGAAGCAGTGGTGTTGAGGCAATAGCCTGATAAAACTAGGTGGGTTTCAATTTTTACAATTATTTTGTATACTTATCATGATGTTTTTGAATACCGCCCCAGTCGGAGAAATGATGTCGATTGGTTTTATTTGCTGATACACTAAAATATTCATGTTCTTTGCTATATGTGAAATTCGAGTATTTTATTAACTTTAATTATCTTTTTTATTACAGAAACCTCGACAATTACTTGGCTTTTGATGTTTTTCTCTTGACATTCAGCAGAGGTGTGTATATATTACCATTTTAGAACATTTTGGCCATATACTTGCTCTGATGACAAACCTATAGACAAGCATATAACTGAATTTATGCGTGTTGCTACATTTACTCGACTGAATCTTGCACAGTTCAAAAAGAAGTAGTGGCTAAAACTACATTCGAACTATATTAATCATTTATATGTGTTTTATTATAGAATTTACTCTTTGTTGGGCGATTAGCTGTAGAGCCCACGACGTTTGTAATTTAAGGTCAGTAAATATCGATGAATGCCACTAAATAAAGGAAATCTATATGATGAGCACTTTTTAAAGCCAAACAGTTATCCCTGTCATAAAAACAATTGATGATATACTAAACTGACAAAGAAGTTTTCTTTATTTAGATAAGATGTTTTTGGAATATGTAAATAATAATTATTTATTTCATTTTAGATAAGAAATATGCCGAGGCTCTAGTTCATTCGTGGCTATGTTGAATGCAAAGGTAAGGTTTTTGTCCATATATTTTGAGTTAAGTAACAAGTAGGGCACTCTCATGATGTTCTTAGATACCGCCCCAGTCGGAGAAATGATGTCGATTGGTTTATTTTACTGATAGTTCTTATATCTAGCACAATCTATATAAAATATTGACTAGAATATGTACTTATACCATTCTCTTTTCATTTACAGTCGTGAAGTCCCATACTCTGTACACTGAGGAAACCAATTTATAAGGCGAATGCATTTTGAGGTGAGTTTTACCTGTTCGATTGTTCCAAAAGGAACATATAGATTAGGGCCCTTATATGATGTTTTTAGATACCGCCCCAGTCGGAGAAATGATGTCGATTGGTTTATTTAGCTGAAAGTTTAAAACTGTTACCCATCACATGTTTAATGAACTTCTTCAATGCGTACTTATGCTATTTTGTTTTATATTTTCATATTAATCAGTGGACTGATGGCGGTGTGCCTTTCTTGTAAGCATGTGGTACGTATTCTTTGATTTTTTGACCCTATGCTGATTCCATTTAATGATGATTACCTTGACAAGCATATACCTGAATGTTTATGTCGAATGTACACTTGACTGATTCATCCACATTCACAATTCCCACGATGTGATTCTTTCGCAAGCATTAACTGATTCGTATCTTATTTCTTTATTGCAGGCAGTGAAATAATTCTGAAGGAGATCGAATGACTTGAAATTGCCACAATGTTTTCATGAATGTTATCTCCAATTGATAAATAAAAACAAAACTTGTACTTGTAATATAACGTGATATATTTTATTTTGCATATTATGTATAGACATTCAATCGCTTCAGTTAACGAAGGAGATACACATACGTTTAATGCTACAAAAATTGCTTCCTTCTTTCGATTCGATTTGAGCCAATCGTGTGGGCTACATATAGGAATATTCCATTTGTAAATGTTGACCTTTATATAATTGGTACATACATATGCGTACAGTACTTTTGTTTGTATTCAATATTCAAACATATACATATGTAAATATATATGCGTACGTTGCTACATATGTAAGGTATATATATATGTTTGGGTTGGGTTTTATGTATTTTGTATATAAATATTCGTATGTACGAACGAGCATGCAGAAGGGATACACGATATACGCTCAAAAAAACTCAACAAAGCAAATCAATTTCCCAGGCACTTGGCCTGCACTCGATACAAACTCGACTCGGCTTCCGTTTCCGCTTCTGCTGTCAAACTGTAAACGTCAAATGCCAATGGAAACTTTTGATTGAACGCACAACTAGTGTATGTAGGGAGTTATTTAGGGACTGGGGGGTAGTACTGGTCTAGTATAGATGGCACGGCATGGCCTTAGTTTAGATATAAAATATGTTTTACTACCAAACAACATTTATAAAGAGTTTCTCCTGCTACTGCTTTTACTTTTTCCTCGAAACTAAAGCAAGCCTTGGATGCTCCCCTTCTCGGGAGATGGCTTTAACTCTGTTCTGTTCGAACCAATAGGGGGAAAATACAAATGTAATACATTTTTTAGCATCAATGACGATTTACAGAGAGATAATGAGTGAGAGATGTCAATTACAAGTGGAAGTTTCAAGGATATAGCAAGTGGGAAGAGAGTCTCAATCAAATGTCTTTCGGTTAGCGTAGCTTTCTCCACGATAGTCGTGTCATATTTTTGTAACATTTCTCTTTGTTTTATTTCGTATTCATAGGTATTCATAGGTGTTTTCAAAAAACAATAAGGAATCAACAATATTCATAAAATGTCTCATTATAGAATATATGGTAAAATGTAAATCTAAAAACTACACATATATAATAATATTTGTATAAATGTATGGGGTAGAGGGAGTGCGGGTGTTGGATTATACAAACATACATCGAAGTATCTAGGTATGTTTCCTTGCATTTGGTTTTGTTTTTGTTTGTTTTGTGGGTATGAAATAAATAAGTATCGCATGCAGGTGAATAGATGTGGATCGATTGAGGCTCCGGCTAGTGGCCAATGTGCTTCTTGATCAGGGCCTGCAGCAGCCGTACCTTTGCCTTCTTCTCCTTGTACTGGGCATAGGTCTCTGTCTCGAGGGACCTTCGATCCTGCTTCAGCATCTTGCGGCCATTCTGCTCCTCGAACAGTGACTCGTACTCGCGTATGGTGGCCTTCAGCACGGCCTTCTCGTCGCGCACCCGCTCCAGCTGCTCCCACAGCTGGTCCAGACTCAGTGCGGAGATGTTCTCGCTGGCCGCTCTCTCCGCTGCGGAAGACTCCATCGATCCCGCAGCAGCCGGACCCGTTGTGGTGGTGGTCGACTCATCGGAGGAAGCATTCTGTGTGATGGTATTTGGCGCCATTGAGTCGCTGGGAGAGTTGGTGGTCGCGGTGCTGTTGTTGGATGAATACTGCAGCGGTGTGGAGGTTGCCTCGAAGACCATAGCCTCGTGCTCCAGGATCGTGGGCAGCTCTGGCACCCCACTCCCAGTGCCAAACATTACAATGCGGGCAACTAGACGCTTCAGCTGACGGTAGCGATCGTACAGGGGTCGGGCTGCATCTCGCTCCTCCTTGGTGATGGGATGGCCGTAGAGATTCTCAAAATACAGCAGACCATGCTGGACGGCGGTCTTCTCCTGCACCAGTTGATCGGCGGTCAGTTCCTCCAGCTGCTGGGACCGTTGGCTATTTGTGCGCTTCTCGTTTAGATTCTGCAATGGAGAGCAAAAAGCGGGTGAGTACGGTGCATAAGTTATCAATGGATCAATGAAATCAATATGAAAATGACATTTCAATGCCACGGAAGCCCACCCAAACACACAAAAAAACACACGCATACATAAACTGATAAAAGCGCCAAAGCGGCACGTAAACAAGACTATCTATCAGCGCCACTGCATGGGGCATTATTTCATTGGGTCTCATGACAAACAGACAAGAACCCGCGCGAGACGCCAAACGGCCCAAAACAGAAATAGAAATAAGTGCAGAAAATTCGTAAACAGTCGCAAAAACAGAACAAACATTACATTATACAAGCACTTTTGTGGCTGCTCTTAACCATTATATCCATATTCCCTGCCCTTCCGTTTGTCTGTCTGTCGTCCGTCCTCCACTGTACATCCAATCATTCTTGGCACAAACTCAATTTCATTTCTTTTCGAGCCTCTATGACAAATGTATCATTAATTTGTCAATCGATGAAGGAGGCCTGTCCTAACCAAATGCCATGAGCACTCTGCTTTTGGATCTAAAATAGATTCCCATAAAATACTTGTACATACATGCAAATGTATAAAAGAAGCCTCCCAAACTGGGCAGACATGCTACACAAATATTTGTAGGGGTTCTAGAAGCCCTACTTCCTGGCAATGTGCGATGAAACATTTAAGTCTCTTATTTTCCATCCACATACATATGCATGTATGAATTCTCTTAATCCGAAATCTTCATTAAACGATGCCAAAAAAATGCCTTCTACCATCCAGTATACAATTATAAAAAGATTCAAATAAAATATAAAAGAAATGCGGCTATATTTTGAGTCATATTCGATTCAATTGAATTGATTTTATCAATTAATTCTGAAATAGAATCTATTCCCATGCCAAAGTACTTTCCATCCCAAATTAAAACCGCATTTAAGTAAAGGGCATAAACACGTCGATCAGCCGGAGAAATTAGTTTTTGGGTGGAAAATTTCATTTCATTTAAATTTGTTGTTTTCCCGAGTGCCGCTCTGACAATGGGCAAGATCAAAGTTATTGCCAAATTGCTAAACATGTCACTGGCTGCCGCTGCTGCTTCTGCCTTCGAGGCAATCTACATATTTATAATACCCGTGGAACTGAGACTCTCTGACGTCTGCTCCACTTGTTAATTGCCATCAAAAATCTGTGTCTGTCTCGTGACAAGAGTGCGCGAATGAGATGGGGTTGTTGGATGGAGAATGATCTCAGAGAGACATAGAGAGAGTGATCCGTACCTGCTCGATTTCAGCGAGGGTGGTCTTCATGCGCTCCAGCTTCTTGGCCACATCCTGGCACCCGGAGCCACCAGCACCGCCGCCGCCACAGCCGCCCAGCTTGAGGCCGAGGGCAGCGATGGGATCAGTCTTGAGCTCATGCCGCTCCTTTCGCAGCTTGCTCAGCTCGGCCAGGGCGTTCTTCATGTACTTGTCGTTGAGGCGCTCCGCCTGCGAGGGCCGGTAGCCGAGCCGCTGCTCCAGTGCGTCCTCCAGCTGGACGAGCTTCTTCTTGAGCACGGTCACCCGTCGGCCGATGGCCTTGAGGCGTTCCTCAGGGGTCTGGAAAGCCACCATCATGGCGGGCAGCACCTGCTGCATCACATCCCGGGTACGCATATTCTCCAGCGAACTGAAGGCGCGTACAGCGTCCATCGGCTCCAGGCAGTCCATGTCCTCGCAGCCATGCAGCTGCACGCTGGTCGCTTGCTTCGGCAGCGCCTGCGGATAGGGCATCACCTTCGCCAGCTGGGCGGCCGCATCGATGTTGCCTCCGACGTGGGGCCGAGAGTGGGCGTAGCGTCGGCTCAGCACGGGTGCAGGCTCATCCCCGCGCTCCCACGGAAGCGACTCCTGGGCCGAGGTGAGGTTCGGGTTCTGTTGCTGTTGGCGTTGCGGCGGCTTGGCCTTGACGGGTGTGGGCGTGGTGTCGTCGCTGCCCGCCGAGGAGCTCGTTGTGGGTGTGGGTGAGATGCTGGAGCTTCTTTTTGACTGCTGCTGCTGCTGGATTTGCTGCTGCTGGATTTGCTGCTGCTGTAGCTGTTGTTGTTGGTGGAAGTCGATCAGGTTGTTGTCGTTGTGATCGGAGGCGGAGGAAGACGAGTTGGACAGCTGCTGCTGTTGCTGCTGCTGCTTCCTGCTGCTGATGAAACCACGACGCTCGTACTTCAGAGCGGACAGATCGTACTTATAGGCGCTCTGTTCGTCCCGCCTAGAGGGCAGGTACTTGCCACCGACTCCTCCGCTGCCGCTGCCCTTCTTGGTGATGCCGGACTTGCGGCCGGGTGGCAAGCGGGACTTGCAGAAGCGCTCGCTGCTCCTTCGGCGCTCGTGCTCGCACTCACTGTCATCGCTGGCCTCCCGCTGCTGGCGGGACGGACTGGTCTCTGAGCGTGGACGCTCCTTGGAGCCCTGCACCTCACTCGAGAGATTGGCCAGCGAGGAGTTGTTCTCGCCGCCCTCCGACTCCTGGTTCTGGGTCTGGGACTGGGACTGCTGTTCGCGTTCAAACTCTAGACAGTAGTCGGCGTAGGTGGCGGTACGCTCAAAGTCCTCCGAGGAGACACGTCGAATGACCTCGCATTGGGCCTCCAGCAGGTGAGCGGCCGTTGTCTTGGGGTCTTGGGGTGCGTGGCCCTGAGCTGGATCCGTGAGCAGCTCCTCGCTGTTGCTGCGTTGCAGCTTGCGGTCCTGCCCAAAGACGGAGCTGCTGTCGAGACGCTCCTTGCGCTTGCGCGATGACTTTTGCCATTCCAGAGGATTGATGATCTCCGGTAGATATGTGGAGCTGAACTTTGGCTGTGGGTCGACGCTGTTCAGATGGTTCCTGGCATCCGCCTTGGTCCTTTCCGGACTCTGCTGATGTTGACGGACGACGTCTGCTGGCTCATGGCACTGTGTGGGGGCCGCTGTGGATGCGGACGATGACGAGGATGCTGAAGATGATGAAGATGAGGCTGAGGCTGCACTGCCGCAAGAGGCAGTTGACGATGATGAACCGGTGAGACGACTCAGGTCGTCTTCGTTCAGCCCAGTTGTGGGATGGCGCATGCCGCACTGTAAAGAAAGAGAGAGAGAAATGGTTAGGCAAATTAATAAATAAATAATTCAAGAGGTGAATAATTAAACAATATTTCTCAAATGTCATCAGAACGTATCGGAACCCACGCCCCACCCTACCTGTTCATTAAGTGTGGTTTAGTAAAGGTCTGGCACTACGTGTCGCATGAGTAATAGTTTGTTAAAACATTTATTTTGTGCCCCGTCACGACCCATCATCAAGTACTGCCCCCCCCCGCCAGTGCCCACTCGATCGGACTCGGGCACTGGGGTCTAGTTGAAGAAAATCTCTCCAGTTTCCAGTCTCAGATGCCTGTTATATAAGTCACACACGATGCCCATAAATAATTCATAGACTTTGGTCGGAAAAAGTCAGGCTCCCATTTGGTATCCAAAGAAAAATCCATTTTCTGGTTGAGTTGTGTAATCATATGACGAAATACCGAATAAATTGGATCAAAATTGAATGCAAAAATTGAAATATTCACTTTGATATTCCATCATTTTGGGAACATTTTATAGGAATACTAAATGAATGCATTTCTTGAATAATTTCAACACATTTGATTAGCAAAAGGAATTGTCAAAGTATTATAAATAAAGGAATATTGAATGTATATTTACCAGAAAATATGCAATAATTTTGGGCGTCATATTGTTGTCGATTATAAATAATAATAAGTTTAGGTTGAATTTTCTAATCTCTATGGGAATCAGTCTAGCGGTAGCTTGGGGATTATCACAAGTATTATTGCACTCGAGGCGCCTCGATCACGTTCAATCACTTGATTTGAATATACTTTTGTCGGTATAATCTTATAGATGTCATAAAAATGTCATCGCTTGAATCTCGCTCAATAAATTTCAATAGAAATTAATTGAATATTTCCTTTCCAGGTTTTTGTTTTATTTTGTAGGTGAAACACTGTATTGTCGTCTCCTTTTTGTTGAAAACAATCTATGTACATGTCTCTAGATATTTTGATTGTTTTTGCAAGTATTTCTATGTGTTTTTTCACAAATATTAATTATTTTTCTTTTGGGCTTTTGGCGCTTGACGCTGCCTCTGCCGACAGCACGGTGGAGGAGGAGAAGGAGAGAACCGTTTGCCGTTGCTTTCTCTGGGCGCACCGAATTACTATTAAATTGATTTCAGCCCCGACCTCGGGAATTATATGCGAAAATCTCGAGAGCCGAGCGGCGGCAGAGCACCAGTAGCGGCAGTGGCAGAGCGATAACTTGGCAGAGCGGGTAGGAGAGAGAGCGCCTGCGCATGGTCAATGTTATTGTCGATCGCTGCAGCGCCTGCTGTGGGGGTGAGTGGGTGCGATAGAGAGAAGGTGCGAAAATGAAATGCAAACAGAGCAGAATTTGTGCAAGCAAGATATAGTAATAAAAGGTGGGGTGCTCATATAAAGCTTTCTCACTGCATGCATACGCAGAGCTTGAGAGAGGAACCTCGACGGAGAGAGCGGTAAATCCTCTCGACTTGTGTGAAATATACCTTTTGTGTACTTTTCTTATCGGTACTCTCTTCAGCTGCAGACACTAGACAGAGACAGACAATAGATTGCGCCTCTGTATGTATGTGTGTTTGAGTTTGTTTGAGAGTTTAAAAATAAATCTGGCACTTGGGGCGCACGAAATTAGCAGAAGCTCCACACTTTATGGCCATATTAATGAAATGAATTAATTTATTCACTTGTTTACGCCCCCGTGTGCACAGACAGAGCAAACAGGCGATACTGATACATAACCAATGTGGCTCAAGCGCTATTATCGTTTGATCGAACGGTATTTTAGGCACACGCGAAAGCCCTCCGTACAGGTAACGGCGCTTCATAAACAAAACAAAAACCAAAATAAATTTGTCAACGGTGTGTGTACATAGTATGTACGTTTGTATGTATATATGCGCAAACAAGAATACTTGCTCAAGAATATATTTCAAGTGCAATGTCACGCCAGATCAATGCAGCAGCAGAGCAGAGGCAAAAGCAGAGCTGCAGCGGAACAGCGCAGCAACGTCTGGAACTGTCTGTCTGGCCTCTCTCTGTCTGCCTGCAAAAATAACTGAGTCATCTCTCTCTCTCTCTCTCTCGATCTCTCTTTCTTCTAGGCTAACCGAATTTCAGAGGGAAAGAGCCTGGAGACTGGAGTCTGTGCGTGTGTCAATCAACTTTTTCGTCAGACAGAATGAGACAAACTAATTGAAGAACTCGCGCCCTCTCGTGACGTCAATGGAGAACGTGATCGAAAGCTTACAGCAACTCAAATAACGGCTTGGAAGGACAACCAACCTCCCGTACGCCGGTGTTGTGTGGGCGGCGCGTGCAAGGCATTTCCAATTGGAATTAGTTCTTATCAAATTAATTAGACAACGGAAAGGGGAATTTGTTCAAGGGATTTAGCAGCCGCGGACAGCGACAGGTGAAAGCCCAGTACGCCGTATAATGGCACCGCAATGGATAATGAATGGGAACTCAATCGATGTCTACAGACTTAACGGCAACAAATTCCAGGATAAGTGCAAAATTGTCTATAAAATGATATCTTCTTTTATCAAAAACCAAATAACTTTTGGATGACACATTTTGTGATTTAAGGGCACATAACAGACATAAGTTTTCCTCTATGGAAAACATTGGTTCCGAGATTCAGTGCAAAACACAAATGGAATTCTTTTGGTTAGTTAAGGGAAAATTCTCCCACAAGTTCATGCTTCTTTTGGTCCAAAATTTATGTAAATACCCAAAAATAATCACATATCTATAACTGCAAATAATATTGATTCAGCGTATGACGTAGGTAGGTAGTATGGTCTCGTGGGCGGTTATTCGAATGTCATAAATCCACGCATCAATATCATCTGAGCCACACATAAAATGTACATTTCAGGCGATATTATTGCGGCATGCTCCCTTTTCCTTTTCATTGTTTATATAATAATAATAATTGTACACAGAGAAGCCGCCACATGGAAGTACATGACTCAGTAGGAGAAAAGATCATATTGGATAAGAATCGAAAATGATGGAGCACGCAAACCACCGAAGCCGCCGAGTGAACCACAAAACCGCATTACCACTTGACCCAATCAAATGAAAAATGTTGACGGACACCAGCTGCTGAATGAAGTGTCACAGAAATGTGTTTTTGTTGTCAGATAAAGATATCAAATCCGCGGGGAATAATCGATAAGAATCTGTCGTCATAAGGTATTTATGGACACAACCATAGAGGCAGATACAATGGAATTTGGAATTTTAATGATAGCCAAGATTTATTGAATTGAAAGTTATCGAATAGGTTCCTATATCGTGAATTATCCAATTTCATAAAGATAAGTGAGGTTTAATATTTAGTTTGGAATCTGATAGACATGCAAAGATAATGCCACCTGAACTGGCTCTCACATTTCCGTACCAAATTACATTTCAAAAGCTAAAGAAGGTCGCACAATTGACACAATGAACAGCCACGCGCTGAAGCCAAAAGCTGTTTACATGCAAAAACGGAACGAAAACAAAGTCAGGGGCACAATGGCATGGGATTTATGGGGCTTTTGTCGAGTGGGGGGTTGGCTGCTTAACAACAGTCCCCACAGCCCAAACAGGGGAAGCCTACATACGTCCCACGGAGATGCTAAAAATGGACCACGCGGCGTATGAGCGATCCTCACAATAGCCCAGAGGTGAGATTTGCGCGTTTTAACAAGCCCGTGCGAAAACGGCAAGCATTGGCATTTGGAATTCGGAGAACGGTGGGAGTACGAGGGCGCAGTGCTGCTGTTGGCTATTAAACGTCGTGCAAATATTGAAAAGTCATTTTCACCGGCTACAGTCTACGAGTATTATGTTGATAAGAGTGGCGAGGCCTCTTCTCCGGACTCTACCTGGTAACATCCAAAACAACCACAGACCGCCTAGCGCCGCCCCAGACCGGCTCGAACCGGTTGGAAACCAGTGACTGCAGCCCAAGATACAGCGAAGATATCACTCTCTCTCTCTCTCTCTCTTGATCCGCCCGAATCCACATTACGCTCCTATTATTCTATGGCTCTCCATATCAGAGTGGGTCTGAGTGTGTAAACAGTTTCAGTTTTTTCCTAAATTGTATCAACAATTTGATATGAGGCTAGCTATTAGGAGAGTCTCTCGCAACCGCAGCTCTCTATAAACACGACTAGCCATAGCCATGTTGACATTTCATCAATTTGAGTGCCCGGGGGCTTGGGAATTTGGTAACCGAGCAGTTGACAGAGCAATAATGAGTGTTTACGAGCTTTTTAAGCAACCTACTTAGCCTTAGGTAGCCTCCTACTAATGGAAATATTCATTTTTCCTATAATTTGCCTATGAAAGTGCTTAATTATATATTGGGGGATCTTTTCAGAAACTAATGAATACTCCAGACTAATCTACTACAAGTTTATTGAATAGAACATAATGAGTTTTACGAAGAAAGCTTTTACTGTCATCTATCCGTTGAAATTAAGGAAAAAGTCTAGATTCCTGAATGAAAATGAAGAAATTTAGAATGGAAATTTCCAACGGACTGCACGTATCGAAATATCTCCAATGGATATATGTAGTACATTTATGTGCTATTTATAAAATCATAATTGATCGACAATTAATCACACTGATAAGATACGAAGGGACGGGGAGAACGATAGATAGTGTATAAAATTGATGTACTTCCTCGGGAATATCGACCATTTCGAGTGCTTGTTCCTCACTCAGTTTTTTGTTTCTATTTTAGGCAATCATCGGAAAATCAATGAAATCAAGAAACGATTTCATTATTCTTCCACCGCAAATCGCATCAATCACTGTGCTATCGACTAAACAAGTGACTATTTGGCTAATGGTTCCCATCACTCTCTCGACCTTCCATTACCCTGCACCCTGCCTACCTGTCCTAACCCTACTCATAACCGTCAATCTGTCGGTTAATGTCAGTCATGTGTTGCGAGCTTCTGGTTTCGCTGCAGTTTGAGGATTGCGCAACGGTACGCGGAAACACTCACAGAACGAAATAAAAACACAGGTCAGAGGCCAGGAGAGAACTACTATTGTCATTCCCAGTGAAGAAATTTCATGTTGGCAGTAGAATATTACGCGAAAGAAATGCAAATGCGAACTCACACAAAACAAAAACGTAATCAAGCGAGTCGCCGAAAACAAACGTAAAAGCAAACGACAAAGACACCGATATAGGTAATTCCTCTTTCCGAGCTTTGCCCATATTCTGTCTAACAATTATAAGACTATTTCTAGAAAGGGTATGCAAATTACATGACAAATGAGAGAGAAGGCAAACTTAAAAAAATAACCACAAAAAAGAAGCAAAGAAATGGCATGAAAGGGCGAAAATAGAACAAAAATAAACTCGCGGTCGGTCTACAGCAAAACAAGAAAAGTATTCATAAATGTCGGGAATGGGTGGACATGGGAAAAAGGAAATGCAATCAAAGCTGTGTAGGTACAAAATATATGACAGGGCAAAGTACAAGCCAATCTTTCCGCGTTCTCTTTCGCTTTGCCGTTTCTCTCCCGCTGCTTTTAGTTTCTGTGACGTAATTCGTAATTACTGTTTGATCAACTTCTGTTGTATGCTGGTATTGTTGTTGTTGTCGTTGCGTTTCAATTAATTTACAAATTCCTTGCTTTTGCTCACTTTTCAACCATTCCATTTATTTTCGTTCGCTTTTCGTTAAAATCAATCAATTTCAATTGATTAAAAAAGCGAACCAAAACAGCAACAACAAAAGATGGGAATTTCTTTTTCCAGTTTCGTGAACTTTGGCAACCCGTCGCATACTCTTAAACAGTAAAATAAAGGAGGATGTATGGGCACGTATTTGCCATAATTTACGATCCATGCGAAATTTGAACAGGTTTTTTTGCCATATAAATGTTCCTTTTATTTCGTTTTTCTTATCGTTTTGTTTTACTTTTAATTTAAAACACTTAAACTTTTGCTGCAGATTCTTTCGAATTGAAATGTCTCCTCGAGTGATGGCAGTGCCGCTCTGTGCTCGGCGTGTGTCGTCAGATGACAAATCAAACCAACCTATTCCAAAACACATGACTACCAAGACCCAAGACCCAAGACCCAAGAATCGTGCCACACTCGCGACCAACTTAATGGAGGCGATGCATCTTAATCTACAGAGAGTTGTGGTACAATGGAATGAATACAGTGAAGGCTGTTCTTTGAAGCGATCTTTAAAGTATCCTACATTAACTATTACAGGGTATAATCTCTGATTTTCTGTTTAAAATCTTTCTGTGCCATGTGTGCCCATATAGTTTCATCTGTGAGAATATTTGGTTGTGATATACGATTTTACTAATGAAAGAGCCCTACAAAATGCATTACGTAAGCATTCCTTAACCTATACTATTCCCTCTTTATCCATAGTAGTCAAATTCCAATCATTAGCTATTGACATTCCCGACGCGTCCAATGCTAATCCCCCGCTAATTATATTCCCATGGTAAAATTCGTCTCACTTTCTGGTCTTTGCAAACACAGTGATCTCTGAAAATAAACGCAATCTGCTCAGTGGAGCAGGCCGAGCCGTGAGAAGTACAAATTTAAACAGACCTATAAATAACCCAAACACAATTGATCGGTTACACATTGAACTCTCTGAGGGAGCTCTATAAATAGAGATCTTTTCACGCAATTTGGCAGATGATTTCGCTTGCTAATCTGTTTACTTGATTTGTTAATTGAGTTTGCCATACTCAATGTATTCCTATTATGCATCCCCAGACAGACACGACAATCCTCGCCACTCCATTCCCATTTCCATATCCAGGCAACAACCTTAATTGCTTTTGCACTCAATTATTTATGCAAACACAACTAAGTCCCTCACAAAATAGTTTGTTTTTTGGGTCAACACGCTCACGTCAGGGAATATGACATGACGATTGGAATTATCCCTGACACAGGATGATGGCTAATAGGGAGACGGGTAGGAGGCAGTTCTGCCTGAAAGCAGGCAATACTATTCTTGCCACAATAATCTAGGAAAATACAAAGAAAATATATGGGAGGAAGAGGCTTCACTGTGGCACTATACATACATTTGTATGTACATATGGACAGTACAGGCAAGGCATAATCTATGACTCAAACAGCAAACGAAGAAGAGCAACAAATATGTACAAATACGTTGGAAAAGGCAATAAACAAAGCGGACAACAGAAACAAAAAACAGAATAGAAATAAAGTGAATCGGGAATGGGGGAATCTATATCAGAAAAGAAATGTGGGTTTAATGGAAAAATCAGTGGCAAATGTTCGCCAGATAACGGTTTTTGTTTGTCATAGACAAATACGATAAACATACAATAAATGTAAGGTATTAATAGACCATATTGTGTACCCAATACTTTCACAACTCATTTATTGAATTGTGTAATAGCCTGTTGTATAACCTCTATAAAGACTTCTCTGTGGAGAAGCTTCTAGTTGTAAAAATATGGTGTGTATTTCAAAGAATTCTCTATCGATATTCTGCGTAATGTAATTAATCCCACCAAATCGATATACATAAGCAAGGAAAGGCTTTTCTTATTAAAAGGCCGGCCAGCCATTACTTTCCAGAAATAACTGGATGTCTGAAAATATGCAATGGTTGCCAGTGCCTGAAATGATCCGATTTCGTTGGATACTTTTCCATTGCCCTGGCCAAATGTGTTAATTTTATTCCTTTATGGTAGCGTAATTAGATCATAATCATCTCTGCAAATATTTGTACAGTAATCAGCAATAACTACGTCGGACAGGTGTGAAATGGATAAATAAAGACGTCCGACTGCAGAGAGGTGCTCATGGAGAAGTACTCTCCAGCGAAAAATTGTTTATTTAAAGATATTATTTGAACGCAGTGGAAAATAGAGTATTATTTTAATTTAAGTGGAAATGTTTTTCTATAGTAGAACTATCGCGCTGCGGTGCCTTTTCTCCGTGTAAGTGGAGCTATTTCCCCAGGTGTAAAAATACCGAAGTGCAATGCACTCCGTATGGACTCCACCCTATAATTTTATCTTACTTAGTTCTATAATAATACTTACAATGCAAGCCTTAACGGACTTCCAAAGATTTCTCGCAAAGTCTTCAATCTTGCTGGTTTTTCCCCGTACGTTCGCCAGTTGCACGACGTTTTCTTTTCGATCGTGGGAGAGTGTGGCAAGGAGGAGTGGGAGGAGTAACCCAAGAGTGATGAATAGAGTTACCGGGAAATCGGTGCACGCTCAAAATCACTTGTCACGCCTGACCTGACACCTGTTGGCTCTGGCACATGCAGGGGTGCAAGGAGAGATTTCCACGAATCGGTTAACCGTATTGTTAGGGAAACGTAATGTCGTGCCGGTAGATAGTCACATTGCCGATGATCCCAAAAAATTAACGCGCGAACAAACGGCAAGCTTTCGTGCCGTGCCGTGTATTGTATCTATTGTCCGTTTTGTGTGGTATCCCGGGTATCCCTCTCCAACCAGGATTACTGTTAACTTTGGTATTGTTGTTTTCGCCGTTCAAGCTGTTGTTGTTGTTGGTCCAAGACTATCTAGTCTCTCTGTATCTCTCCCTGCCTGTATGCCTGTATGTCTGTCTGTCAGAGTCTCTTCTTCGCGCTTCCACGCCAACAAATCCGATATTTATTCGCTCTTGAGTTTGATTTTTTTCTTGACCTTGTAACGACGGTTGCGCTGATCTATGACAAACTCATATCGCGATCTCTGCACATTTTCGCTATCCAAATCACAACAGCTCAGACCAAGCAGGCGTAGGACTCCTAGCGAATACGTTGTGACTGAATTATATGGCCTGGATCGGTGCGAAATCGGTGTCCGCTGCAACAGCTGCGGTTCGGGCGTGGGCGTATGGCGTATGGCGTAGGGCTGGGCTGGCTGCCTCTAGATGATGCACTACCGGACGAATGAACGGTTGGGTGTTGTATGCAACGGTGTCGCTCTCGACCGGGCTTTTTCAAAGTTTGGAGCGTGAATGAGCCAACGGAGTGCACCTGACGATCTATTTGTACCAAGAGATTGACGTTATCCTGCGATCAATCGTTCTCTTTCTCTCTCTCTCTCTTTCTCTGCGGGTTTGCAACTGCACTTTCTCTCTTCGGCGTTCTTTCTAGCTGTTTCTCTCCCCCTTTGGGTGGTGGTGCACTCTCTCAATATTTCGCTTCCCTCTCTCGCTGGCTGACTACGGCTGCTTCAAAAAGTGTGTGGACACGAGACGATATCTAAGCATGTGTCTCTGGGGTTCTTGGCTGCCGCCGCCGACGCTGCCGCTGCCGCTCCTCTCCCGCTTGCTGCTCACTGTTCTCCTTCCTCCCGCTCTCCTTCTCCGTCTGTCTAAATGTTCGTTTCCCTTTCCCTCTGGCACTCGGCTTGCAACGGTCGCCGTCGTAGTTGTTGCTAGCACTTTTGCCTGACTCTGCAATTGGCCAATTATGTAAAACGTGGCTAAGAGTCGGAATTAGGCAGCTTCGAAAAATGCACGAGTAGGTGTGTGTGTGTGTTGTATTTGCTCTTGCTGTTGCTTAGCCTTTGACTTTGCTTTTGCGTTTGATTTTTGCACTGCTCTCAACTCTCGGTTGTAATTGTTTTCGGCGAGGTCATCGACGCGCGCGGATGACAAAAATCGATATTCCGCACTGCAATAGACACAAATCGTTTGTTGATTTGGCTTTAACTTGTTTTCTGTGTCCGCTTTTTGGTTGCGTTGAATAATTCGTTGTCCCACTCTTCACTCCGCTGCGAAGGGGCAACAAAAGGCAACGAAAGAAAAACAGAGGAAACTTCTCATACGGCGACTGTGGAAATCAAGCTAAAAACTTTCCGCTCACTTGGTGGCACGTTGTGGACGCGAAGAGACGAATTTTGAGTTTGAGTGTCTAAAGCACACACAACCACAAAAGGCTGCGTTTGAATGTGTTTCGTGTGCCTGCGAGTGCTTCGCTTCCCTCTCGCTCTGGCGCTTGCTTTTTGAACTGCTCTCTGCTCTCGACTGTTGTTTGTGCGGCTGCTCTCTCTCTCTCTCTCCCGATTGTCTCTCTTTGCTTTTGCGCAAACGTTCGCGTGAGTGGGTTTCTTTTTCTTTACAGTTTCTCTTGGGAGGAGGAGAATATATTGTATTAATTATCTAATTTGTTTCTCGTTAATTAATAAAATGCAGATGTGTGTTGACACCCTTTTCTCTGGGACTCGGTAGTTGAAAAATGGGTGTGTGTGTGATAGAAGCTGGTGCTCTCTTTGTTGGCTCTCCACAGCTGTTGATGACGCGATGACGTTGCAAATGAAACGCATCCCAAAGACCTCGTCGATTCGTCTCGCTATCCCTTTCGCTCGCACTCCTTGCATATGCTCAAGATTAGATACTCTTCTTACTCATTTTTTGCTTCGCTCTCAATTATGATTCATTTTGATGCGTTCATTTGCGGCGTCGGCATTTACATACATTTTCATATTTCGCTTATCCATTTTTGAAAAGACTGCAAAGAGAGAAAGAAAGAGAGATTTAATTTAATTCTGCTGTCCAATCGGTGCTCTTTCAATTTCAGCGCAGAGCATTGATTGCATTGCACAATGCAAATTTCAGCAACAATCGCAAGCTCAGGAATTAAGTCCAATTGATGGCAATTTACAGTTTGCAGGCCGCGCCAAAAGGCAGAACCACCCTCTAGAAGTGCACCATCAATTGAGGCTTGTTCTCATCCACCACCCAAATGAACCCCAAAGAAGTTTCTAGAAGTCCCGCTAACTCTTTTATACAGAGCAGTGCAAGATTCCTTGCAAATTTTAAAAAGTGAGAGAGGGGTTGTGGGTGGATGTCAGATACCGTTATGGTTCTGGGAATCTGTGGCAAAACAAACACACAAACACACACACACACACACACAACAGTGTACACACAAATAGTGCCCAGATTTGCATGCAAAGTGGTGGGGCACTCGGACTCGGCCAGCGGCCATAAATAAAATTTGATTATGCAAATGAAAAACAAGATAAAGTTCATATATTCCCAGAATGGGATACCCTTTCGCACATTTTATTCACATTATAAATTGTCCCCATAGAAAGACACAGAGCAAATGTTTTCAGTACTGTCAGATTTGGAGATTCTACCATGGTTGTTCTTGAGATAATTTATATTTTCGTAAATGCTTCACCAATATCAAGAACACCCTCTGAATAGGGTATAACTGGCAATTTTTGAGAGTATTTATTTACTCAAAAATTGTGGACTTGCACAAATGCCTACATATGTATATCCAGAGTGGACAGAATAACACCGAACAGGAAAGGAAACAACAAATTAACTTGATAGCCACATAAAACAAGGAATATTTCCACCAAAGCGTGTAGCCTTGAAATAACGAACTCAATTAACCTAATCCAAAGCCACAGCTTTGTCCATATTATGCATCAAAGTTTTACTATACAATGTCATTTATAGTTCCCAATTGATTGATGTCCGATGAGGTTGATGATGATGATGATGTCTGGCACTTAACCTTAGCTCCCCAAAGATGGATATTTTGCGTGTTTCAACTCGTAAATCCTAAATGAAAATAAATAAACAAGCGAAATGCTGTCAAATTCTAAAAATTCTATATAATTCTATATAAAGAGATACGTAGAATATATGTATGTATGTAACTACATACGTATACATACATACATACGTATGCATACACCCATTAAAATGTCTTTGACGTCGCAGACAAAAAGCAAAAATAGCAGAAAAGCTTTTTTTATGTTTAAACAAAAAAAAGCAAAATAAATAAAAAATCAAACAAATAAAAGAGAAACGGAAGGCGTACAAATTATAAACAACCAAATGAGAAAAACATGTCTGTTCCTGTTCCTGTGTGTGTGTGTGTGTTTTTTATAATTGAATTCCGCCCAGACCGGAAGTGGCGCCAAGAGAAAGGTCCTAGCTCATGGGGTCCTGCAACACCTGTCTGTGCCCGATTACAATTTTATATAAGCATTGACCCAGTCTTCTGATGTAATATGTACAATGAGCAAGCATCCCCAGATCTAGACAATTCACCCCCGAAAATGTTCCTGCAGTTGCAAAGTGCAGCGGCCCACACACTGAGGGCACACTCGGTATTTACCTAATTTTGGCTGCTTTTTTCTGGGACTTTTGCCACACACTGACACTGACACACCAACAGAGACTCTGCCACTGACGCGGATGAAATAGAGTACTCTGACTATGACGCGCTGCGGATAGAACAGAATGCGACCACGCCGAATGAGAAACCAACCTCAACTGAGTGGAGCACACTGCCGCCGATTGGGGCACGTGCTCGTGGCGGCGTACGGCCGTAGTGGAGCCATCAGAGCGAGAGAGAAAACAAGAGCGAAATAGACAGCAAGAGCATGTTACTGAATGGAATGCAGCCGAGGCAGGACCCCACGAACCATCGTATCGCTTCGGTAGCTGTCGCTCTCTGAACTCTGGTCCTATGCTGGCGCTGGACAAGGACGGAGGGCTGCACTTTGAGGCGTCATAGTCTCCATAACAACACCACCCGAAATCCACCCACTCCCTATAGCTTCCACAGAGCCGTAATTAAATATCACACACACGTTCGTGTCGATTAACGATTACGCCCACGACCAGGCCATGTCCATGGGATGCTCGTACCCCGGGCTTTTGGACACATTTTACGCCTTAATGCCTCTGCTCTCGGCAAAGCCCCTCATAATATATGCATGTCCTTGAGCGCACTCTAGGCTCTCATCCTCCTTCCTGTGCGTTTGCTCTTTTTAACGGGCTGCGTGTGGCGTACGTGTCCTTTGTAAATGTTGCATTGAAAGAGGTTTTTAGCTTGCAACGCCATCAAGGCATCTCTTGGGTTTGAGCTTTGGTTACCCTCCGACACTTTCGCTTATTCATGTGCTTAGACCATCCATCCGATAATCCCCATTCCACATAAATCAGTTGAAAATTGCACATTTGGACATTTGCCAAATTTCGAACATTTTTAGACAAATCAAATAATATATACAACAAACACATACATATGTTTGTACATATATGTATATGTATCTTGGCGTATCTTTGTACACAATTATTGTTTACTTCTCTCTGTGCTTAAGTCTTGCCCCTCCCCTCCAGCCACAACATTCGCTGCACTTTTCTCAACAACTTTTCCCCCCTATTTGTTACGGTTTTCGTCTCGCGACGCTCTGTGCATTTTGCAGCAAAAAAATGTGCGCCAATATGCATTACACAACGTTTTGGGGCAGAGCCATCGAAATGGAAATGATGTGATAGAAAATCACATTACGAAATGGAAATGAAAGCCCAAAAAGCGGCAAATAGTTATGGAACACTCTTGAAAATTGTCAAAGTACATAAAGTAGATTACTGTGATATTATTCTAGACTTTGATAAAATGGAAAGCAGCTCATTGGATGGGGAAATTGCAAATCAAGGCCAGCAGCAGATGATTTATTCATACATACATATACATATATGTAAATATGAATGTACATATGCAAGAGAACATAGCTGTGGGCAACCGTTCGAGGTGATATTTCTATACCCTTCTCTGACTGAATTTGATGCCTCCAGATTGGAAAGTGTCCCTAGAGCTTAACTGAATCCCATTTAATCGGTGCAATTTTATTTTGGAAAGCTGCGAAAAGTACGCGTGTACCCAAAAATAGATGACCCAAATAATCGTAGCTTCTGCTCTGATTCCCATTGCTGGCCCTCTGCTCCTGCACTCATCATTTCGGAGCCTGTCCGTCCGTTTTTTTTTCGGACACCAAATGTCGGAGCAACAATTACGTAGACATGGCACGTCCCAGGGCATCCTGATGGATCATCTCCAGCACACATCTGCAACGCATGTTTTCGTGAATGACATCCAAAGGATGGGCTATGCGCAGGTCCCATTCCATCGATTGGAGGACAGGCTCTCTCCGTTAAAGCTTGGGATAGGGCATGGGAGTGAGAGAGGCTGTGAAATCAACTGCGTAGTTGGCAAAAATCAACAACAATGTCTGCTATACATATGTATGTACAAATGTATGTTTATTGCTATTTTGGGTCTTTGGGGGTGTGGCACCTGCTGCTGCTGGCTTGGTGTGGGGATAATTCGAGCGAATTTAACACGCAATTTCGTCAGACTGGGAAATGCTTATGGCATGGGGGCTGGGCTGTACCGGAGTGTAGGTCAGTTTGCACACTTTCGCTCTCTTTCTCTACCTCTCTCCCTCTCTCTCTCTCTGTCTCTCTTTAATCGAAAATTGCATGCGAAAAGAGGTTATCCTTGGCACCAAAATAGTCCATTGCCCGCACTTTTGACAGTTCAACTTTTGCACTGGCTGTCAAGGATAACAAGGATGCGAGTGACGTATGCAATTCGACCCATTCGCAAAGGGGTGGTAAAACCTTGAAAAGGATTGGCTTGGCGTGGCCTTTGACAAGTCTGTCAGACTGTAGCCAGAACAGCTCAGTCCAAGCAACACTCTCGCCACATTCCACAATATTTTCCAAATCGGGGGAAAAATATTAAATATTTTAGATTAAATTTTTGTTAAAATTGTTTCAGAAGAGCAGAATAATGATATTAATACGCGGGCAGTACGAGACCGCCCAGCTGGGTGCAGCGATTATCGTTTATGTGATTATGTTCCTGTGTGGCTGCAATGTGGTAACCTTCCATTATGTGCCTGATCTGCCCACCGTTCTGTTCCTGTACACTTTGGTGCTGCTGTCCCACCACTTGCGTGTTCTGTTCCTGCGTCCAGTGCAGAATACCTGGCAGTTTCTCCTGGAGCTGGCTGGAGCCTATTTCATCAGCCAGCTGGCCATACTGATCATTTGGGAGTCGTTCTATGCCGTGCTGGATCTCTGCCGCATGTCGCTCGAGTCCACAGTGTTTTTCCAAAAAATCTTCCACATCTCACCGACGTTGTTTTTCCACCTTCGACACGACCCTATTTATCTGTTGAAGTTGATGGTCGCGGTTTACAGTGCCATTAAGATGACCGTTTTAACCAAAGCGAATGAATATGCCATGGCCTGCTGCCGAACTATGAGCTACTATGAGGAGGAAGACATGCAAATTGTACGGAATGCTGCCACTATGAAGAATGTGAATCCCAATCGTACCAGGGCCACGTCGCGTGCTAAGCCGCGATCCAGAAAGGCCACTCCAGCCTACAGGCGGCAGAGATCGCAGAGTCGAAGACGTTAAAGCTGCCACAGCCCACCCACCCACACGCACCCTAAATACATATGTACAAATATTTCACCTAAAGATACCTCGTCCATTGCACCCGACTGCGGCAAGTCAAGGTGCACTTTGAATGCCATTTTAAGTATATTAACATGGATGAACGAGCATTTGTTACAAAAACGATTTCAAGTATGGCGGCAAAATCATAGCCCCCCGCCAGTGATGCGCACTCGATCGATATACGTTATCGAGATCATACCCGTCCAGTTTTTATCATCAATGGACGACAGCATGCATACCCGTGTGTGTGTGGGTGTGTGTTTGTACCATTGAAGGTATATTACATACTTTTAAGGATATGTTCGACTACGAAATTGAGTTCATTGTATATTTACGTTACATAGGTAAACAATGGTATATTTAATGCATAGGGTATATTCAACAATATAGGGTATCCACACTCCCATACGCATGTTTTTCCTTTAGGAGTTACTCTCTTTTATACGGAACAGCAACATGCTGCTAAAAGTGAGCAACACTGTTCCCCAACATTTGGCACGGAATAAGCAACATTTAGTACCCTTGGCGGGCTGGATATCCTCGAAATGAAGTAAGCAAGTGAAGTGTCCTCATCATATGGAGGAGTTGAGGAGGAAAATTGGGAAAGCACTGAACTAAAAAGAGGCCAAAAATTCGAACGATGTGCACTTGACCGGGATCCCCTACCTCTGATCAGAGGGAAGGTTCAAGCAGTTTGGTGAGTGTTGTCGAGTTCTTGAATGCCCTCGAACGTTTTGTTGTTACAGTCGAGCAAGAAGGCTCTCTCACATGCGGTAGGTTTATGATCACCGACCAGGCAAGATGTTATAGTCCCCTTATTCCAGCTAGTGACGGTGTTAACACAATTGAGAAGATACTCCGCCTTGAAGATCCTGAGATCATGGTTGTAAAGAACGGACTTTTTGACAGCCTGGCGGAGATTCAGCGACAGAACATTCAATGCGGGTAGCACATAATTATTAATCATGGGGCAGCCACACCCTTCAGAGCTCATGTTTGAGGACTCTGATCCCCCGGCTAAGAACCGTGGCGGAGAAGGGATGGCGTGGCTTACTCCGAGTGACATGTTCAGTTCCCTCTCTTGAACAGACTCTCTCCTAATGGAAGGAGCCGTGATAGGATCTAGTTTGATGGCGCCTTGAGATTGCTGCTTCTCCCTTTCGGTCTCCCGAAAGATGTGATCCAAAGGATCTTTGAAAATGATATTTTAATATTAATATAGGGAAATAGGGTATACAAACGCCCATAATATTCAACAAATTGTCAAATGGCGTTGCATTCCGTTCACACTGACCTTTTATGCTTTTTTGCTGGTTGATCTTTTTAGTTTTTAACTTAATTTAGAACAATTTCAAGAAAAGAAAGTAGTGAAAACCAGCTAATCTTGTGAAGATCTAGTTAATAAATCGGATTCAATTTGAGTTTTGGCACGGAAACTCTGAACTAGCTTGTAATATCAAATAGAACATCAAAATCTAGGAAAATGACTTTAGATTTACGGTATATTTACAGTATATTTTAAAAATGCAAGGGTGGTATATTTCGATATATTCCTAGTGTCTGTCGGGATTTATTTTATCGACACAACAACACAAAACAACAATAAACAAATTTATAGTTAAAGTTAAAATTAATTAAGGACAAAAGAGAATTTTTAACTGATCAGAGACATGGCATTTCTTTGCCCCGTGCGCATGCGGCGCGATAAGAAGAAAGGTAATTCAAACAAATAAAAAAGTGACAAAAATGAAAGACTTGAACCACAAACTTGTTTCTTGTTACACAGCCACAAGTGCGAGCATTGAGAGGGATCTTCCTGCAGTGGGGGGCATCGGCATGGGACGCATAACTGGCTCCTCCAGCATTGAGACTCTGGTGAGGGTGGGCATAGAAAAGGAGCACGGTCTCAGGTATGTCTGATTGTTGTTTGTTAGAATCTCATTCTCATCCGATGCATTCCATAGCCCAGACTCCAAAATGGTTGTGCTGCACGATTTTACGCCCTGCGTGGACGACGAACTGGAGGTGAAGCGCGGCCAGCTGGTGAATATATTGTACAGGGAAAACGATTGGGTCTATGTGATCGGACAGGATTCGCGGCAGGAGGGCTTCATACCATTTTCCTATTGCGCCCCCTGCAACACTCAGCTGGCCGAATTGGCCGTGAAGAAGAAACTGCCGCGAGAACACTGCCCGGAGCAGCCGATCGATGAGAATATGCCGCTCCTGGGCGCAGAAAATAAACTGGACGTGCTCTGCGATGAGCCGCCTCCTGCAGCCAACCCAATTGCTGCATCCAACAACATTGACAACAGCTTGCACGTGGAGCCAGAGTGCACACCGTTCATCAAGGAGCCATCCGGACGCTGCATTGTCCTGTACACCTTCATAGCACGCGATGAGAACGATTTGTCGGTGGAGCGGGGGGAATTTGTGACCGTCTTGAACCGTGAGGATCCCGACTGGTTTTGGATCATGCGCAGCGATGGTCAGGAGGGATTCGTGCCTGCTGGCTTCATCTATCCCGCCGACAGTGTGCGTGTCCTGCAGCAGCAAAAAGCTCCGCTCAACGAGAACAACATACAGCATCATGCCACACTCAACGCCATGGAATCCATTCTGCAGCAGGGCCAGCAACAGCCGCAGCAGCAGCAACCACAACAACAGCAGCAGCAGCAGCAGCTGGGATTGGGCACAGATGATCTGCGCTATCATGGCACAGAGCTGGTGATGCTTTACGATTATAAGGCGCAGGCACCAGATGATCTTTATCTGTCTGTGCGACGTGGCGATTGGATATATGCCGATCTGAACAATCAGACGGTGGACGGTTGGCTCTGGGCCTATGCGCCCAAGACGAGAAAATACGGTTTCATTCCGAAGGCCTACGCCCGCCCGCCTGCCATGACCAGTCTTTGAGTACGCTGGAACCAGTTGAGTAAATTGTGCCTTAGATATATATTCTTTTGATGTGAGCGTAAATATACAATAAGATATACCATCAGTAATTATTAATTGCCCATAAACAGCACCTACAACTAGATGTGAGCCTTATAGCGCCTCGATATGCACTTGGTTTTGGATATGGATATGTGTTCCACAAAGAGTGGTGCGCGAGGGTGGGCAGATTTATGCTCAGCATAATATTGTACCCACGCGCACCTTGAACTGGGTTAGTCAACGCTTTCGCTGGCCTATTTCAAGGCCAGACTGTCGTTGGCCGAGGAGCAATGTGAGCAGTTCAGGTTAACGTTTCTGCAAAATAAATTTTAGCTTATTTAAGTGGTTCCCCGCTGTTCGTTCAAACTCACTTTAATGCCTCCCTGAGCTGCTCCTTCTCGCTCATCTCCTCCCGGAGCTTCTGCTGCAAACTGAGTATGAGATCGTTTTTATTCTGTATCTGCATTTTAAGGTGAGTGATGGTCTCCTCCTGCGCCTCGAATATTGCCTGTTGCAGGGAGCAGAATGCGTTACATGGAACGGATATGGAAGATTAATACCCTCGACTTACCCGACACTCCTCCATGGATTCCGAATACGAGGGCGGCTCGTCCAGGCAGAAGAACTCTCGCACCAGTTTGCACCTGCGCAACTCCTCCTTGGCCATCACGGAGTTGACAAATATTTGGAGTCCCTGCACTCGATTGTCCAGGAAGACGGCATTGAAATTGTCCCCGAAGAGCTTTTTGCGCGGCAGCATCAGCGATACATTGGGGTACGCCTGCTTTAGCTTGCCATTCAGCCGGACAAAGTCCGTGTAGCGGCGCATAACCAGCCAGCAGTCATTCGATTCCGGGTTCTCTACGCGCAGTTTGTAGACAGTGAAACGGGCACGCTCCTCCATCACCTCGTAGCCAATTATTGGCACGCGCAGAACTGCATTGGGATCAACAGGTGCCGCCGAGCTGGAAGACAAAGTCATTTGGCTGGCAAACATGGAGCCGTTGCGTCGCGGGTAGCCACCGCCACTGGTCTGGCTGTAACCCAGGCTGCACTCGCTCATGCGTCGCGGGGCTCTACCCGACTCCAAGTCGCTGCCATGACCCCCCACGCTGCTGCCGTAAGAAGTCTGTGTGAGGTCCCTATGGGAACGCGCACCGCCCATCATTGTGGTCCTATTTGCAGACCGCTGCTGCGGCTCGTAGCTGTGCGAACTGATTCTCTGCAGACACACTTCTGACTTTGCGTTGGCCGCCGTCAGAGGAACACCAGAGTTGCCAGCCAAGGCTACTGTGCCCACATCACTCTCCGACTTGCTGCGCAACAGGCTGCTGTTGCCAGAATACTTGGCGCAGTGCCTTAGGTCAGGACACGACTGGGTGGCGCGGCCCAGCAGCTTACGCTGATGGATTAGTTTTTGAGTATCTAAATTTCTGCTGCAACTTGACGATTTAACCGCTAATGGACGCTGCTGATTCGGTGACGTTGTTGCTGTGCTGGCCTTCTTAAAGAGCGTTCTCCCCGTGCTATTGTTGTTGTTGTTGGTGTAGTTGTTGCTGCCACAGTTACCCGATTCTCGTTTTCTGAGTGCACGCAGGGACATTGCTTTGTCTTATATAATGTATCCTTTTTGCCTGGCCTCTGCAACTTTTCCAGCTACATGACTTTTTTATTTATTTTACTTTCTTTGTTTTTTTTTATTTTTTTATGTTTTTGGTGGGAACAGTGTGACCGCGGAAATATCGAACAAATATACCGTCAGACCCCTTAAAAATATACCAAAATATACCTTTTCATTTTTAAAATATACCGTAAATATTCCTCGATTTTTATGTTATATTTAATATTACTCGCTAGTTTGGATTCTTAGCGCTAAAAGTATAATTTTATTCGATTTATGAATAAATTCTGCAAAAGATTGGTTGATTTTCATGACTGCCTTTCTTTGGATTGGATTTTAAGGTCAACCAACAAGGAAATCATACAACGCAAAGTGGGAACGAACAGTGCTGGTAAGCGGTGCGCTGTTGGTTATCGCTCGTTCACATGGTGGATATTTTGTTGTTTACAATTTTTAAAACGAGTTTAAAGCAATGTCCTTGCAGAACAACAAAAGCAACGAAATCGTACAACGGATTGTTAGCTTAGGCGTGACTGAAAATGCGGAGGAAATCACAGGCTTGCTCAAGAGCCTGCGCCTTCTGCTCACCAAAAGCAGCGCCGCCCAAGAGGCTGTGGCAGAGAATGCTGAGTTTTCTAGTTTTATAGAATCGATGGCGTTGAATCCCCAGATGCGCACCGAGCAGAGTACAATCCACACACTTACGCTGCAGGTGCTGGCCAATACTGTAGTGAACAATGGACCCGCTCAGACACTCATCTGGAGGCAGCATGGCACTCGGATTGCCGAACAGGCCTGTGCCGCTCCCTTGGGAAGCTCAAACAACGTCCTGCTCATGATCATGTACAACATCTACCTAAATGGCCGTGGCCTGATCAGCAATGAGCTGGCTCTCCAGACATGCCTCCGCTTGTGGCAGGCCATCAACGAGGCAAAGTGCACCCTCAACTTTGAGTATTTGCACTTCTTTCTGGAGAACTTTATGGTGTCGAATGGTCGAGTCTGTGTGGTCTGTTATCAGCGTCTGAGCACCGAGGAGCGCATAGCCTTTCTGGATTATGTGGCGCATTATCTGCGCGAGAACAGTCCGAACGGAAAGCTGGCCCCATTCCTGCTGCAGCACTTTGCCAAGGAGTTTCGACTGAAGTCTGACTGCATATTGCGGGAAACGATGAAGCTGCGCCACGAGCTACATCCCCGGGAAGTACACACGCTGCTGCGCATCATAGCCAGTGTCAGCGGATCCGAAGAGTATGCTAACTTCTATGCGGAAGATCAGTCACTGTTCATCAATGTCAGCAGCTTGCTGCGCTGTGTGGTTGCAGCAGGTAAGGAGGCAGACGGTGGAGGGTTAGACAAGCCAATGACCAAGCTGGAAGAGGTGGCCCTCACATCCGGCGTGGATGCGGAGTACGAAAAGAAGATTTCCTACGAGCTGAAGACGCTCCTGGTGCGCTGCTCCGCCAATTTGTTGTACGAGAACAAGGCGAACAAAGGCTACTGCATTGACACACAGCTGCTGCCCACTCTGCTCGAGTGCACGGTGATGGATGCCCGCAATCCTTGTAAGACAATCAATGATTTTAGCTGTCACACACTTGAAGGTTTCATGCTTTTCGTTTAGTAATGCGCGAGTGGAGCATTTTGGCCATACGCAATGCCTGCATCAACTGTCCAGAGGCTCAGCAGATTGTCGCCGGCCTAACCATGCAGGGTTCGGCACCCAATGACCTCCTCAGCGAACTCAATCTGGACATGGGCGCCCTGCGCATCACAGACAAACGCCAATAGCCGAATACCAGCCGAATACCAGCACGCAACACAGAGAAAACATACACAGACCAGACTAGACAGGCCATTGGGAAGCGAGGCACGACCACTGGCTGGCCAACAAGTGGTTAGCTGTCTTTCGCACGACGTCATCCGCCTGGCGTCCGCTCCTCCTTGCGTTGAGCGATGCGCTAATGGTATGCCAAAAGATCTAACAACATTCATAAACTCGTTGTCACCGTTTAATGGCATCGCAGGGCGCGTGCGGCGACTCGAGGGGCAACGCGAACGGACATTCGAGCGAGCATCCGCGAGCGCTGCTACAGCCAGAGCGGATATAAAAATAGCTGCCCATGTACCATGCTCTGTGCACCATTAAAAAAGAGATGGCTAAATTCATCAATTTCTAAATTTATGCACACAAATTGCTACACTGAGTTGAGTTGAGATGAGTTCGGTTTATGGGGCAATTAAGAAACGATGACGTCGTCGAGCGCTTCCTTTGGCGACTTCAGCAGGTGGCAGCATGGTTTGGGATGCCTCCTCCCAGTTCTCATTCCCATTCACATTCGTAAATCTGTGTATGTGGAACACGCGCCGCCAACAAACGCCAACGCCAACGCCATGAGTTTATGTTTATGTTGCTCTGCAGGGCAAAGAAACAATGGAGGAAACAGCAACGGGCACCACCACACTCACGATGGCTGGCAGCCTTTTGTTTCAGCTCGCTCAGACGTCGACGACACCAACTACTGGCAGTGGCAGCAGTGGTCCGGTCCGGTCCCTCCTCCCAGCAGTCAGTCAGTCTGTGCTCTGCTTTGGCCAGCAGCAGACGGGAGTCAACGACGGAATCGCCGCGATCGCCTGGTCCTCAAAGCACGACCACCGTTCAACGTTCATCGTTCGCGCTCTTTGATTACTCTCGAGTTTTTCGACGGAATTTGTTCGGTTTTTGTGTAGTATATTTATTTATTTCTGTTGTTATCGCATGCTTCGTCTCGGTTTTTAGTTGAGGAATTAGCAAATTTTTATTTTAGACATTAAGACGCTTGCGCCTGGGCAGGCGATCCTCGTAAAATCAAATCAACACAATCGCGAACGCTGCCGGAGCCCATAAAAGTCGTCGATAAACAATTTGACTTGGCGCAGAGATTATTGTTGCAGCGTTGCAGCCTTAATGGTAGGAGTAAACATATCTCTAGAGCAGATCGAAACGGATCGGATCGGTTAGCTCTTATATAACGATAAATCAAGGGGAATGACAACCGAAATCGGAGCGATTAAATCGCTGTGACAGTGATGCGGGAGGACCATGTGGGGGGCCCGGCCTGGCATTGGCATTATTTATGCCAGACATTAATTAGTTGCACTAAAAATGCGAAATTTGCCTGAAGGGAGGCTAAGAATTCGACGGTGTTATGTTGGACAGCGTGGTGTGGCGTGCCGTGGCATGGCACATACCAAAAATACAATGGCCGACAACAACTAAAAACCGAAATCAGAAAACAAATAAATAGTCGGCCGACAAATTAAATTCTCTGTCTCTCACCCTCTCATTGGGTGTGTGCGTGTGCGTGAAGCAGGTGTGTGTGTGTGTTTTAAAAAGAAAAGAAAATATAGAATTTCTGCCTGTCAAAAATGTCAATACGCGCGCCCAAAGATGACAATGAGATGGGAATAAACGACATTTCAACCATATTGTCAGCCAGGAATTTAAATATATTATGTACACAGTAGATATACATACATATATGCATATATCTGTGTGTGTGTGTAGGCCCATAGATATAGACAAAAGACACAGCTTGATAACTGTACATTTCGGCTAAAAATAACGGCATATTCAAGACAAATTTGTTTAAAACAAAAGGCAACCCAAACCAAAACGAACGCATCAAATGCGTAAACTAAAATTTGTGCTGTGCAAAATATAAATAAAAAAATAAAATAAAACCTGAACATCAGCGTAATATTTTATATACTCTTGAAAATCGGGAAACGTTTAATGATCTGTAAATGCAAAAGCAAAGCACTGAGAGGAACTCAGTGTACAAATACCCAAGTTTCAGCCAAAAAATTCAAAAAACAATTAAAATCTTCGACAAAGATCGAAGTCTTCCATGGGTTACAAACATCTGGCCAACAGTTGCATACCCTCTGTATAGAGTATAAAAGCCGCCAAAGCCACACACACAAAACTAGCACAAAAGTTTGTAACGGAATCGTTTCTCTTCCCCCAAAAATGACGCAGTCGAAAAACGTGACGCAAATGCAACAACTCCCTCCGCTCCACTTCATTTCTGCCGCGCAGTGCATCTGAAACGGCTGCATGCGGCCAAGAATAGATCACGGAAGTGGAGAAGTTGGAGAAGATAAAGAAATAGAGATCTTCCCAGAAGAGAATGTAGAAATTGATGCTTACCTGGCGACGCGCCTTCCATCAGCATCGATTATAATGAGATCCCCTTTGGGTTTTCCCGAGAATTGAAGGCGACACTAGGCAGTGGCAGCGACCCATTTATTATTTCAAACAAAGACGGAATAGAGTAAAAATAATATATAAGTATGTATTTAGTTGTCAGACGAGAGCCAAGTAAAATAACGGCACTTGTGCACGCACTCCTCAGTCCCCACTCCCCTCTCCACCACTTCACCGCCCACTCACGTCGTCGCACCTAATTCTCGCAAAATACTTTTTTGCACCGAAGCGCAACAATTTTGAAAAAAAAAGAATTCAAATACTTTTGAATATTTTGTCATTTATTTTGCGCACATCAGGCGGGGGAGGGGGAACTTTGGACATCTCCTCCACTAATTTGCTTAATTTCTGTCAGGAGGCCTTTGCCTGAAAAACTGAAAGAAAAACTGTTTTCGAATGGGAATTTCTGGTTGCCGCAGCAACATGTAAAAAAAATAAATAAATACGAATAAATTCTCCAAAAAGAGCATAATTAACGTTCGTGCACACACCACAGCCAGCGATGTGAATGCTCTACGCCTCCTCATCCATATGTAGCTAGAATATATTTAGTCAAAATATAAAAATAATGTTTAAATTAGAGAGATCTGGCATGGGTATGGGGATGCCAAAAGAAAACACCTGCTCAAGAGTGACGTCGATGATGTCCCACACATGTGCCGCACATTTTCAGTGACTTCATTTGCCTGGGGACCAGCGGCCAGAGATAGATAAAAGTCAGTTAAGTTAAGCCACCCCCCTCTTACTTTACAGGAACGTGCCCTGTTCCATGTGCGTGTGGATTACCCGTTGCCATCGTCCGGAGAGCTAAAAACAGTCCCAGTTGTCGGGGCCCTAACGAGGGGAGCGTAGCTAGTGTGCAGTTGTGTTTGAATCAGCCACAAAATGAAGCGCGATGTATCCACATCGACAATTGGTCGGGACGAGGCCCGCCGTCCCCTGATGGAGGCCTACATGTTTCAGCGTCGTCTGTTGTTTGGCTGCAGTCTGCTGATGGTCATCTCGTTGCTTATCTGGATTGTGGCCATATCAACGGACCACTGGATCATTATCTCCGGCGGAAAAGGTGCGTAAACGTGTTAACAGTGCTTCAGTAATACTTCATAGCCTCAGGCGCTCTTTAGGCATCTTTATACCCGAGTCCCGACGCTTCTTCATGTCCTCGCACTCGGGACTGTGGCGGCACTGCCGCAACACAATCGTGCCCAATGCCCTGAGCAATGCGCAGGTGGTCCGCAACTTTAGCTCCATGTCCTACACGTCCCAGATTAACATCAACGATGCCAAGCGCAATCTCTCCCACATGGAGTTCATCAGGGACTTTGCCCAGGAAAAGCTGAACGACTCGGACAGCTTCACGGAGTCGGCCCGCCGTCGCATGTTCGCCCATTGGGCACGGGGCGAGGAGGAGGAGTTTCAAACGTTTCGCAGCGCCTTCCGCAAGCTGGTCATGTCCACGGAGGACAACCAGCGGCAGTTCAATGCGACAGCCATCAAGCCCATACCCATCGATCCCTTGGACGTCAATGGCATCATAGCACGGCAGACGTTCGGCTCCGCCCTGCAGCGTGTCAAGTACAACAACACGTGGTCCTACTATGTGATCCCGGAGGTGGCTCAAGAGGCTATATTCAGCAACTGGACTGACTACCCGCTGGTGGTGCGGCTCCTGGCCACCTACATTCGCGACATTAACATACCCGCCTTTGTGCTGAACGATGAGCGTGTGATTCTGATCCTAGTGCCGCCACTGCCGCCGAAAAGAGGCGGCCACACAGCCTTTTACAGTTACATACCCAATCGTGAGTGGCATACAGTATAACGGAATTGTTACCGAATTAATTCGTTTCTTCGCACAGAGCGCTGCAAATACATCGACATGTTCCCCAACTCCAACACTCTGCGCAATGAGCCCGGCTTTGACGACGAGTTAATGGGTAGGTGCCACTGACGCCGCCACTGGAAGACAGTTTGTAATTGGCAGTGGGTTGGTATTCTCTTTCAGATTACATACGGACGCAGGCTTCGTTTGCCTGCATCACGCTGTTCGTCATGAGTCTGGGCGCTGTCTTTTCCTTCTACACGTTCATGAATCCTCGCTACATGTTCAAGCGCCTGGCCGGCGGCATTCACCTGGTGGCCGCCTCCACAGCGCTGGTGGTTATCCAGGTTCTGTTCTCATCCATTGACTACACAAAGGAGCACCTGTTCTATGCCTATCCGGATGGTGCGGAATTAACGTGAGTATCGCCAGCACGTGTTCTATTTTCGGTTCGCTAGGAAAACTTCTTCATTGCAGTTATGGATATGGCGTCTATTTGGCCTGGTTCACGTTTGTGGATAACATTTTCTGCGGTCTCATGTTCCTCTGGTACTCTGGCAAGAAGAAGGGTGCCAAAGCGCCTAACGACGAGGTGGCCATGGCGGACGAGCCAACTATAATGGGCCGATAATAAATGAATGCCAAAGATGACGATGGGCTCTGTTTGCCCTTCTTGCGACCAAAGACCAAAGCAACCAGCCTACGTTTGGTTTGCTTATTCATTTAAATTTTGTTATTTGTTGTTTTCTTAATAGATGTACTTGAAATGTTCGCTTTATTACGTTAAGAATGCAATAAAGATATTATTGAACTTCAGTCGGTGCAAGGCGCTACAATTTGAATATGGCTCACTATGGAACTTGCACCCGGGAACGGAACTGGTGTATTGCCAATGTGACCTTTTCGAAAAGACCCGGTTCGTCGTCAGGTGGCGTGGCTCAACATCTAAGTTTTATGCTTGGTTTGTTATTTTTTTAAACCATGTTTTGTAGATGATCTTATATAATGGAGTCTTGAAAGCTAGCCAATCTTGTGAAAAATGAACTAATTAATCCGATGAATTTATATTTTTAGGGCTCAGCATCCTAACTTGCTTGGAATATTAAGCCGAATATTCAAATCGAGGAATATTATTCCTGATAAGGGACACACATCGCTATTTTGGTATATGCTTTTGGTGTATGTATTTGGTCACACTGCCACACTTGTAAACAAACACATGTGCTGCACTTTGGTGATAATCCGACTTTACTAATACAGGATCCATGGAAACTGGAGATCAGCTAATAGCAGATGTGTTTACTACACGTGCAAAGGAGCTTTCGGCGGAAGAGAAACAAAAGTTGGAAGAGCAAAACAAACGGCTTGTGCCTGAATTCAAAGCCAACAAACTGGAAGTGGATGCCCAGCGGCACTGGGACATATTCTACAAACGCAATGAAACCCGCTTTTTCAAGGATCGCCACTGGACGACACGCGAGTTCCAAGAGCTACTCGACCAGAGTGACAGCCGAGATGCAGAAAAGAGGCGTACACTTTTAGAGGTGGGCTGCGGGGTGGGTAATCTGGTGTTTCCTTTGCTGGAAGAACAGTCCAGTGAGGAGGGCAACGAAGAGTGTGTGCCCTGTGGAAGATTCTACTTTTACGCCTGCGACTTCTCGCCTCGAGCCGTTGATTTTGTTCGAGCCAATCCTCTGTACGATCCCAGCAGCATTACAGCCTTTCAGTGCGACATTACCACGCAACAGGTGCATGAGCACATACCTGCTGGCAGCCTGGATGTGTGCACAATGATCTTTGTCCTGTCTGCCATTCACCCACACAAGTTCGATGCTGTGGTGCAGAATCTGTGGCGGCTTCTCAAGCCAGGTGGATTAGTTCTCTTCAGGGACTACGGGCTGTACGACATGGCCCAGCTGCGCTTCAAGCCGGGAAACAAAATCGCAGAGAATCTGTACGTACGCCAGGATGGCACTCGAAGCTACTACTTTGCCGAGCAGGAGGTGGCTCAGCTATTCACGACGAGCGGCTTTGAGGTTCTGACAAATGCGTACGTCCATCGGCGAACTCTTAACATCAAAGAGGGCGTCGATGTACCGCGCATCTTTTTGCAGGGAAAGTTCAGAAAAAAAGCAATGTGACAATGTGCCAAGAGTGTTACGTATATAGTTTTCGATTTTATTTTAAATCAATAACATGGTTCAAGTCAACGTTCAATAAATATTTGTATGCATGTACATATGTATATAGTAGTATCTATTAGTTTTCATATGCTATCGTATGTTAGGGACAAAGTAGAATGGATACCTGTTAAATTCAATTAAAGTTTGTTCGCCCGATCCCAACCCATCCGCTCTGGCGCCACTCTGCAGTAGTTATCGAATGCCAAATGAAATGCATTGCTCATCATTGGGGTAATTGGGGTACTATAACTACTGCATGGCGAGTGGGTGGCCTCTTGAACCTCTTAAACTATTCAAATTAACCGACAAATTACATGCATATATATATATATATGTACATGGACTCCATAAGTAGTAATGTAGATTTTACCAACAATTAGGATTAGAATACATTATCGTATATATAACTGAGAGAACCCATTAAATTTTAACAAATTCAAACGTTCCTTAAGTATTGCGTTACATTCAGATTTACAGTTGATCCGCGCCCGGGTTACGATCAGCTAATACCCAGCAGTAAATTGCGAATATATATAATAGTGATAATAAATATATATACTTGATACTTGGATTTGGCTTGTTGGCTGTGGGATGATACTATTCCACCAGGCCATGCTCCGCCAGCTTGCCGCCGTTGCTATTGCTGTGGCCCAGGGGCGCCAGTTCGATGCTGGAATCGAAGCTTTTGGTCAGCATGTCGCTGCTCGTGACCGAATTCGTGTTGCTGTTTATCGAGGGCAGTGCCCCGCTGCCTGCCACAACGCCTTGGACGCCATCGTTGAGGTCGCTGTCAATACTGAAGCTGTTGCTGCCGTTCTCATTTATCAGCGAGAGCGTCTGCATCGGCAGCATATCGGAGGGGGGTTGCTGCTCCGCATTTGAATTCGAATTCAATTCCGATTGCAGCTGCAGCAGCGAGTTGCGCTGCGTGTGCTTGTCGAACTTGCGTTGCGGTGGTTTCGGCGGTTCCTTGTCCTTCTCCTTCTCCTTGTCCTTTGATTTCTTGAAGCCCGCGATCAAGGCCTTGTGCGCCTGGGCCTTGATCCCTTCCATGCTCGGCCGCATGATGGATGTACGAGTGCTCGAGCTCTCCTTGGTCGACGGCGACTCCTTGGCTCCCGGCTCTGCTTCCTCAGTGACGCTCGCCAGCTGCTGTGGGTTCTGCTGCATGGTGAGGTCCTGCACCTGTATGGGTATGTCATCGGGCAGCTTTTTCGTGCGGAATGATGCGTTCGTGATCATGGATTTCGACACTGATGTGGTCACCGTATTGGTGGCAGGTGTCAGGGCTACGCTCAGTCCCATTGGCCCGTCGTTGGGCTGCCCCGACGGGTTCGCGTGCAGTGAATTGCGCACGGCGCTGGTCACCAGAATGAGCTCCGTGTACATTTCATATGTGGCCCGGTTGTGTATATCGTCCAGTGTCTGTATGGCTATCGTACCATAGCCATTGAACATGGCAAAGTAAATGGCGTGCACCAATTCGATCAGGAAGGACGATGACAGTGGAATGCGCGGAGAAGATGGTTTTGGAAAAGTGGCCCCCGTCGCTGGATCAGATCTGCAATGCATTGGATTAATATAATATCAAGGCAATGAATTGATTTTTGGCTCACCCATAGCTCATGCGATGGCCATGCCCGGACTTGGTGGTGAATCCCTGATTAACCATCTGCGACGTAACACGGCATAGATGCAGCAACGAAGACTTTTGCGTCTGACTGACGTGCTGGTTGTAGCAAAAGAGCAGTGTCGTCAGGATCCGCATGCGGTTCTGGGCATTCACCGTCTCAATTCGCTGATGCGGTCCCCACTTGAGCTCGCGGTTGCAGTTCTCCTCCCAGCGCCGCAGATCGGTCAACGGAAGATTTTTCATTTCGTGGTACACAGACGTCTGGGCTAGGATGGGCATGCGGAAGACCACCACCTTCTGGCCGCCATCGTCGGTGGACACCTCACCGTTATAAATGCAAATCAGCAGCGTCTCCACTCCGCGAGACGCCTTCTTATCGCCCGCCGAAACGGCATGCAGGTACGTGTAGATTAGAACAGGAATGAATTGCAACGGAAACTTGTGTAGCGTCACCTCGGGCGACCTATAGAAGGACAACAGTTGCTGGCAAATGTCGTGAACCATCTCCTCGTTGCGCTGCCTCTCATTGAATATGGTGAAGATGGCCTCGGCGATTTCCGGGTCCGTCTCATGTTCCACAACAAACGCCTGCGACTCGGCTGGCTGCCCTCGAGTCCGCTGATAGTCCGCCAGCCAGTCTCTCACCAATTCGGCCATTGCCAGCAGCGACCTGAAATTGTCGCAGTCACATTCACAATGTCACCACACCACCAATGGAGACCTGGAGATTCCGATTGTGAACCTTGGTCTCACCTTGACCTTAAAAACACACGTAATTGTAGCCTGGCAATTGAATCTGTCAATGTGGATTACAGCACACCTATCGCCGCGAATTATGTATTAACAGTGCTTAATTAATTTATTGCCCGTCCCCCGCTGCTTCTCACTCCTTCGTAATTTTTTTTTTCCAAATAAACCTTGCTTATCTGCGCAGGGCTGCATCGCTGCCAGAGTGACCGCGGTCTTATGGATACCAAAATATACGAAAAAGTGATGAAATATACCATGAAATACCGCTGCATTCCACAAACAAGAGAAAAGAATTATATAATTTACTTAATATTGTTAATCTTATCTGATTTGGAGGTTCTGCAGCGACAGGGAAGCAATATAACCACAGAAAGTATAATTTGGCTTGTTTATGTCAGCTGTGCGTGTTGGAAAACTCTGTTTTGGCACAAAACAGCTACAGCTCTTCCAGCACTCTGTAGACGGTTTTCAACACTAATTTAGACTTCCAGACCAGATTGGTGTATCCATTGGACATTTTATTTGAAATTACTTCATCAACTTTTTGACAATGTCAACCGGGAATGGAAATACATAGGACAGTGTTTTGTCATTGCAGATAGTGTTGAGCGTTTGCAGATAGCGCAATTGAAGAGCAATGGGATTTGTCTCCATTATATCGGCAGCCTCCTTTAGGGCTTTGACAGCGTCTCTCTCTCCAAAAGCAGCCGCTACCTTGGCCTTTGCCTCCCGCAAGGCTTCCTGTTCGACGGCCAGAGCTCGCCGCAGCTGGTCGGGCAGAAGAATCTCCTTACTGCCAAGACACAAGAGACATTTCGGTACACAAAAGAGAAGAAACGTGGTCGAGTTACTTACACTTCCACCCGTTCCACACGCACTCCCCAGGGTTCGGTGCAATCATCAAGAATGGCTTCAATTCTCTTGGACAGAGTCTCCTTGGACATTAGAAGGTCCAGCAGCATGTGAGTGCCAGCCACATTACGAAGCGTGGCCTTGGCCATTAACTCAACGGCTCCTCTATGATCGAACACCTGTAAGACTGCATCAATTGGCTGCTTGATGCTGTAGTAGACAACTGCGTCGACCTTGATCGTCACCATGTCCTTGGTGAGAATCTCCTGAGGCGACACATCAAAGGATGTGGTGCGCAGGTCCACTTTAATATACGAATCAATGCAAGGGAATGTGAAAACAAGTCCAGGACCACGCGGTCCGCCAGGGCGGAGACGCCCTAAGCGCAAAATAACCGCTCGCTGATACTCCTGCAGGATCACAAGACACATGAACACCGAAATTGGGAATGTAATGACCATCAAAATGACCGAGAGTAGATAAAAGATTTTCTCCAAGAGATTGGGAGCTACATTTTCGGCTGTCAATGAGGAAGAGTGATTCAGTGTAGGTGCGAGTGCAGTGCGATGAGAGCAAAGTGAACTCACTCGTCGGTACATTGCGTTCAGTTGCCACGGCACCAAGAAAGGATGCTCTCATGAATGGCGGTACCATATCCAGATCTATAAGACTTTCAGGCGGACGAGGCGGCTCCGTGCCCGATATTCCATCCTTGGACTCCTCCGAATACTTGTCCATTACAAAGAATTTTACACAGTGCAAAAAAAAACTAACTTATCGATGAAAAACAATGTACATAAGGAAATCACTCAATGTTTACTTGAGATGATTTCCAAAGCCAATAGAAAACGAAATTTAGTTTGAATATTTTACATGTATAATTGGCTAGAATAGAGCATTGATTTAAGGTTCGCTAGCTGGGCTGACGTGACACATCTTGAGCTACCTCCACGCGACTGCGGGGACGCCAATGGTCCAGCAGTCGGACCAAAAAATGGGCCACTACGAAAAAGACAAGAAACCAGGAACCATGCTGATACACTGCGTACACCAGCTCGCTGGTGGTGAAGGCTCGCTCCTGAAGCACTCGATCGTAGACCCTGACTGTCCGAAGAGCAACATCCTCCCAGTTGTAGAGAGTCTCCACCAGCTCGTTGCATTTGTACGGGCAGAGCACAGGCTCTATTTGGCTACTTTCATCCGCAGGAGTGGAGCAACTAACCGAACCAGGAGTTGAGGGATTTGATTTTCGTTGTCGTCGCTTTCCCCGTCTATCAGTCTGAGAAGGAATGTGTCCATTAGGGGCAGGAATTCTCATCATACTCGATATACTCTTTTGATGTCTATCTATGGCTACTAAAATGGCAGAGTGAATGGCATCGATATCCGGCTCTGCCAGCAGTATTAAGCTTTTTGGAAGCACCTCGGGAATGCCGCCAACACTGGTGGAGACCACCTGGAGACCGCAAGAGGCAGCCTCCACTATGGCCATACAATATGCCTCCGTTAGGGAGGTATTCACAAAGATATGGCCGCGTACGAGCACGTCTCGTACTTTGACGTGGTCCACAGCGCCCAAGATTTCTACTCGATCCTGCATATTGGTCTTTTCGCGTATCTCCTCCAGCAAATCTCGTTTTGGTCCATCACCCACGATTATGAAGTTGACATTGTGTGTGTTCTTGAAGCGAGGAATCACACCGGCGAGCAGATCGATGCCCTTGCGGTAGACCAGCCGAGAGGCCACCACAATGTTGACTACGGAAGAATTATTAGAATCCTGACTGACTAGACAGTTGTGTCCCACTCACTTGTCTCGTTGCTGGGTCGTTGGCTGACATCTGGCGTGAACAGGGCGGTGTCTACAGCATTTGGTATCACGGAAACCCGATGTTTGGCCACACGCGCTCGCAGCACCGTGTTCTCTTTGCCAATATGCGACACACAGATGGCATGATTCACCATGCTCAAATTGACCTCCAGAAGATTGTTGGTAAGGGCTGCCGATAAGTCAGCAAAGCCAAAAAGGCTGTGATCCGTAAATACAGTCTGAAATTGACAACATCAAATCAGTTATCTGTACACCAAATATTGCTAAATTGTACTACTTTGAGACCAAGCAGAGAGCCCACCATCAGAGCTTCATGGGCTAAGGCACTGAAGGCCGAGTGGCCGTGCACGACCTCCACACGTTCCCGGAGGAGAACGGCCCGCAACATGGGCACATTGCAGACGGCAGTTGGCAGGATGCACTGATTGTAGCAGACTTTAATGGGAAGATAGTAGACCTTGAGACCGTGCGTGACGTAGCGGATGCCACTGCAATCTCCATAGGCATGGGTCAGCACAACGATCTGCGAATTGTATTGGAGATTAGTTGCAGATATACGTTATCTGGCTTCCACTCACCTTGTGACCCAGGCTAAGAAGCATTTGTGAGAGATTGTATACATGCTCCTCGACCCCTCCAATGCTCGGATAGAAGAAGTCCGACACCATGCAGATGCGCATCTTTCACACTTGACGAGTTCTAGCTCACATGCAGGGGACATCACATAAAACAAATTAAAATGCAATAAACACTAAAATGAGCTAAACCCCAGTGCGGCTTGCAGTGCTTCCTAGTGCTGTGTAATATGCAATGACAGTGTTGCAAAGCGTATTTGAACACCGTGCTGATTGCAGCAGCTAACATCAGCCAGGGGGAGGGGAGGAGTAAAAGAAAAGTTGTTTTCTGCAGTTTCTACATGGCTGCAATATGCAGAACTCCAAGGCCAAAATGGACGAATTTAAGTCGAAATTCATGGACCTGCTGCACAAACAGGTAAAAAACAGTCCCTCCAGCAACGGTGCACACTTGGTACTTGGCGTTTGGCTCACAATGAAACTTCTGACGCACACAGACAAATCGACAAATGAAAATTCCTGCCATGGGCTTCTCGGACTACTTCATCCAGACGGTAACAGCCGATGCCTCCCCCAACGATGAAGTGGACGCCACCGACGAAGCCGCGGCGGGAACATCAAACGCACAAAGATCGGATCAGGAAATCCTCGAGAGCATTGAAGAATGCTACTACAGCCCTGACAGCAATCCGCAGCTATATGAACTCAAGGTAAACTAGGTGTGAAACTGGCACTGGCAGACTTCTCACTTGGCACATCTCATACCGCAGAAAGTTCTTAGCGACGGCATCGACAATGAGCTTATCGAGGTCACCATTGCACAATTGCGCACACAGCAAAAGGTATTGACCAAGCAGGTGCTGCAGAACATATTGGAGCAGCGCAATGCCTGCAGCAGTGAGTTTTCCGCCATCAACGACACGCAAAAGAAACTGGAGGAGTCACTCTGGACGTGTCAGAAGGCGAGATCCTACTTGAATTTCGCTCGCACAAACCTCACCACGACCAGTCTGGAGATACTCGCCAGTTACCGCAAGCGGGAGGTTCTCAAAGAGGTCTTAGACACTCTGATGGCCATACGGAAACTAGTACGAGTGCAAATGTTCCATAAATGAATACAATATTCATGCAGTTTTTATCTTTTCCAGCGCACAACTGACGTGGAGCTGCAGAAACTGCTGGCAGATCATAACTACAGCGCTGCGATTGCTCTGCTGCTGCAATGCAAAAGCTCCGCAGAGGCCTACATGCAATACAACTGCGTGCAGTCGCTTTACAAGAAGCTGCAGGAGACTATGCTACTCATGGAATTTCAACTGGACACGGTGCTGAATGAGATGGTGCTGAACTTTGATACGCGCAAGTATGCCAAGCTGCAGGAGGCCTACAAGTTGGCAAACAAATCGCTCATGGCGATGGACCAGCTGCACATCAACTATATCTCGGCCATTCATTCATCGGTCAATGCTGTGCTGCGTGGCTACAGCGATCCGAATCAGGACGAACAGATCAAACTCCTCTACGAGCAGTTGTGCGAGCAACTGAACTCTGAAAAGCTTATACCCTGCCTGATAAGTTTGTGCAAGACGTTCTGGACCATATTGGCCTCCTACTATCAGGTTGTTATGTGGCACAACAACTACAAGCTGTATGGCCACGAGGAGGCCGACTCTCCCGACATCTACATCCAGCAGAAGCTAAAGAAGGGCCAGTCACGACTCTGGAACGATATACTGACCAAAGTGTGCCTGTTCCTGCAGAGCGCCAAGCTGACTGCGCTCAAATACGACCAATTTATCCAAGTGATGTCCATTGTGCAGCGCCTGAAGAAAGTGGGAGTGGAGTTCTGTGGCGAGCAGTCGGAGAAACTAATCGAAATAATGCAGCAGCAGAGTGAGGAGTTCTTTAGGCGTTATCACATTTGCTGCGTGGAAGAGATTTGCTTGTTCTTGGACAACGAATCCTGGACGCCAGTTGACTCTTTTGCGCACATCCTTCAACTGCCCGTAAGGCTTTGATTGTAATACCCATTGATTTTTCCATAGATCACTAATTTTGTTTGTCATTTTAGGAATTCCGCTCTGTGCGTCACACGCTGCGCCGCCACAAGTCGCCAACAACTGCGCTGTTGGCCTCCTCGAACAATTCTCCAATTAGCAACAATAATTGCGACGAGCTGGTCTCTGTGCACTCACAGGATGGTGGCAGCTCCATCTATGGTTCCTATGGCTACTTTTTGCGCTTCTCCGAGAAAAGTTCGCCCTTTGACGGCGGCCTGGATGCGGCCATGCTCGAGGAGGATATACTCTCGGGCATTGTGGACGAGGCCTCCTGCTACTTCAGCGAGGAGAGCGACGACGAGCAGAAGAGTCTACAGAGCAAAGAGTTTGACGATGCCGGCAAGTAAGTGGACTACCAACCTCTATACCCATAGCATTATCTCAAAGAATTATCTCTCCTTTGTTTAGCCAACTGCTGGTGAACAATACGGCCTTGAATGTGCTGCGCTGCCTTGGACGCTACCTGCAAATGTGCAAACTGCTGCACTGCATCTCTCCCCGGATTGTGGCCTGCATGCTGGAGCTTATTGACTTTTACGTGTACGCAGTTCACGAGTTCTTTGGCAAGGATGCGGTAAGTAAGCGTCCAAGAAATTGAAGACTTTAAACACAGAGAAGTTCTCTTAAATACACAGCTAGTGGCCACGGACAATATGTATACGCCACGGCTGGAGCGACGGTTGCGCGCTGTGGAGGCGAATGTTTTGCCACAAATCAAGCTCTGGCCGCTTAACTTTTCCTCTCTGGTAAGGTTTGGTGATGTGCGCTCGAAGCACAATCTTATAATCATTATTTTTTTTAGGCCAACAACGAGCTGGCCAATCCCGACACTCTCTACGGCTTGCCGCAGCGCATTGTGGCTGTGGAGGCTGGACGCAGCATGTTCCAGCAATTCCACATTCTCCAGCATTACCTTAATCACCTTTTGCCCGTGGCCGAGCGGCCACTGCTGGTTTGCTATCTGGAGTACAGCGAATACATGTTGGATCTGGCAAAACCAGTTTACACCTGCGTCACCTCGCGCGTCATTGATTTGACGGCCATACTGGCTCAGATGGCCAAGGTCAAGTGGGATGTGAATCATGTGATACACCAGCATAGCAGCTATAGCGATGTGCTGAATCGGGTATGTGTGGCAAAGGGCAAGGCATTGCAAGCAATCTTCTTATCCAGCAATTCCCTTTCAGAACATTCAAAGCTTTGCCATGTGCCTGGAGGAGACGGCCAAAGAGGTGACTGTGCCCAGCAAGCACGTTTGGAATTCCATGGCCCATGTGGCCACACACCTACTCGTGGAAGGGTAAGCTAAGAACGCCAAGGATTAACCAAATCTTTACCAAAATCTTACCATTTAGCTTCTCCAATGTGAAGAAATGCTCGGCCGGAGGTCGTGCTTTGATGCAATTGGATTTCGCCAACTTTATGTCATTCCTTGAGCTTATCTCGAATCAAAAGTATCCACAGCATCGCTCGTATGTGGACGTGTTCATCAAAACGTATTACTTCTCACCGGAACAATTCGAGCAGTGGATCGAGCAGCAACGGCACGAGGACGACTATTCCGTCAAGCAATTGTCGAGCCTGATACAGTGCATCTGTGCCAGTGACAAGCGCACAAGGCAAAGGCTGCTGCAGTTGCTGGACGGTTCAGCAATGGGCAATGGGGGGACGCCGACGACAACGCCTCAAAAGAACAACTCCAGCTCTGGCTCGAATCTGAGCAGTGTTATCTGAGAGCCCATAAACATATATTTTTATATTTTGTTGCTAACCCATTGCTAACCCCTTTGTTAGTAGAGCAATCTCGTGACATTCATTCAATGTATTTAACATTCCGTTTAGTGCAAATTAACACTGTGTTTAGGCTTACAATTTAGTTAGTTACATTAGGCGATCTCCATGATGTACTTCGTTTCGAATTTTAAATTTTCTTTGAATCTCTCTCTTCTATCTCAATGCAATTCGCTCTCTATTCGCACTCAAAATGCACCACAATTGGCGTTTGGGTTATCCATTAACCGTGACTTAAGTACCTAGAGAAATCATATATATATATATATATAAATATATTATAAGATGCATGAACAGCTATTTATTAATAACCTAATTACCTAATTGTAATATTTATTTGGCAGAGGGCAACGGACAAATAATTGTAATAAAGCGCCGCTCAAGCAATCAATCAACAGAAATCGATTTGATGCGCGCGCTTACCGAACTAACCAACATCCAAAACACATACTAAAGTAGTTGTAACCACTTACTAACAAAAATAACATATTTTGAGATATGCATATTACAATGAAAAAACTACAATTGCCTTATCTTCATCTACTCAAGGGGCGTGAATCTCACGCATAACGCACGCACCGCCTCCTGTCTCCAGTCATTTAGCATATAAGTATATCCGCTCATCGTTGCGTGCTTCACACTAACCCTCCGCCATGTGGACTGTCCTGAGCACCTTGCTACTTCTTTGGGCCATCGTCATAGCCTCGGAATCCACTGTGGACTTTATCAGGAGCGTGGCCAAGTCGTCTTCGCTGGAGCTGCTGATAATCCGCTATGACTACTGTCCAGATTCCTGGCTGCCTGAACTCTACGCATTCAATTCGCTTACAGTGGTGCTGCAATCAGCCAGAAGCGCTCAGCCGCAGCATGAGGAGTTTTCCCGTGCACTGCACGTTGTGTGCCTACCCGGGAATGGGCTGCACGAGGAGGAGCTGCTGCTGCAAGCACTAGCAACTTCGCTGGAGAATAGACGCAACGAGAAATGTCTTCTATATCTAGCGAATAGATTGGCCAATCCCGCTGCAATGGACCAAATGCTGCGACGCTGCTACGAACTGAAAATGCTGAACGTGGTTGGACTGATGGCCGTCGATGTGCAGCGTTTCTACTACCGCTACCATCCCTATCCCGAGTTCAGGGTAGAGCGGCGCACCCTGCAAGCGTCGCATATCTTCGAGGCGCTCTTCCCCAATATGCAGGGAGAGCCGCTGATTGTAATGCCAGACCAATGGCATCCACGCTCCGTTGTCTATGTGGACAGATGCACGGGGAAGAAGGTTCTGGCCGGATCGGTTGGTCGATTTGCACGCACCTTGGTCTGGAAACTGAACGCAACCCTGGAGTATGCCCAGACTGTCATTCCGGGACGCTTTCTCAATGCGAATACTCTGCGAGATCTGGTCAAGCGGCTGCCAATCGATCTGCCGGTTAGCGTGTCCCACGTGGAGCAAATGCCTAACTCTAGTTATCCATTTGAGTTGACGCACATGTGCCTGATGATTCCCGTGGCAAACGAGATTCCAGTGCGGGACATCTACCGCCACCTGAGCAGTGTTGGAAACGTATGCATTGCTTTGGTCATTGTGTACGCCTACGGCCTGACTCTCAGCTGCCAAAGACGTCTGCATGAGCGGGAAGTCTACCTTGTGGATTTTCTGCTGAATGACAGAGCTCTGCGCGGTGTCTTGGGACAGTCCTTTCAGTTGACTAACCAAGAGAGTGGCTCCACCAGCAAGTGCATCTACCTTATGCTGGGCATTGTCGGCCTCAACATCAGCTGCATCTTTGGAGCGGCTCTGGAAACGATGCTGGCCCAACCACCGAAGCAATTCCAGGCCCGCAGCATCGCTGATGTCAGGCGCGCCCGCCTGCCTCTTGTCGTTATGGAAGAAGATCTGGATTCTGTTGCGGATCTACAGCTACCCGTTCTGACCGTCAATGCGAGCGAGTACATACGGCTACGGGACGAGGGGAACACCAGCTACGTCTACCTGGCCACGCGCCTACACTGGACCCTGTTCGAGAATCAGCAGAAACACTTTTCACGAGAACTTTTCATCTACTCCAAGGACGCCTGCCTGTGGTCGCTGGCTCTGCTGACCTTCGAGCTGCCCCAGCACTCCTGGTTTGAGGCGCCCATCAACAAACTAATTCTGGAGGCGAGAGCCAGCGGAATCTATCAATATTGGGTGGGAATGCATCACTACGACATGTCGGTCGCTGGAGTCGCCAGCCTGCGTGATCTCAGCTTGCAACAGATTCAACGAGAGACTCATGAAACTGGCAGTTCCCTGCGCCTCATTGATCTGCAATGGGTTTGGCTGGCATATGGAGCGCTGACTCTGCTGGCCGTGCTGCTGTTTATCCTCGAGACTGGTTGGCAGCAGCTTCAGGCGTTTGCTTTGTGTTCGGATTTAGTTTATTGTTGAAAGTTGAAAGTGAAATTGAATAGATCTGTGGGGTTTGTGGGTAAGTGGATTAATGATACGGATTGTCCATGTTCAATTCCGTTCGTTCGTTGCGTCTAGGCTACGTTGGTGTTCTCGTCACGGTGGAAGATTTTCACATCGAAGAACTTGAAGTTGTGCACATCGAAGTAGTAGTCGTGCTTGATCGGGCGGTTGAAAGGGAAGCCGAAGGGCAGGGCATCCACGTAGCGGGAGCCGTGACCGATGCCGCAGCTGATGATGGGATCGTAGCCGGTGTACTGGGCCACCTCCGTCTCGTGGAAGGGATAGACCATGTAGAAGAACTGGTAGACCTGGCCACCCTTCTTGCCCTTGGGCAGCATCATGCGGTTGGGTACACCGCAGTGGGCCTCAGACTGATCCAGCTTGAACTTGTAGTCGCTGACGGAGGCATCCATCAGCTTCTTGTACAGCTCCAGGTAGGTGGTGCGATCGTTGACCCAGATGAAGAAGTCACCGCTGTTGCGCTTGATGTGGGTAACGCCGGCATCCAGATGCACCTTGAAGTGATCCAGCTCGAAGAAGTTCTGGTAGTTGTGCTCCAGTGGGATGATGTGTCCGTACTCGTCGTGCTTGGGGCCAATGAACACCTTCACAATGGCATCCTGAGCCTTGTCGGCGCTGACGTCCAGGGTGAACTCGAAGGGCTTGTGGTTCAGGCGATGCTGGCGCGCCTTGATCACATAGCTTACACCGTTGTAGTGCGAGTTGCGGCCGAAGGAGTACAGGTTGTCGTGGCTTTCCCCGACAACGGGCTCAACATTCACAGCGTTGCTGATGTCCGAATCGAAGTACTCAAAGTAGGTGGTTAGGCTCTCGGGCATGTGAACGGCATCGATCTTGACGCCCTCGAACTCGTAGTCGTGCTTCTTGTACTCGGGGAAGGTCTCCATTAGGTGCCAATAGTGTCCGACCAGGTTCTTGTAGACCTCGTAGAACAGAGGGTCGCGCAGCGACGTCTCGTAGTGCATGAAGTGGCCGGGGTAGCTCTCGTAGTGCTTGCCCACTTGGTGTCCACCGTTCACGATGTGACGGTACTCCCTGTCCAGGCTGCCGTAGAACTTCTTGTCAATGCTGTCGGCATTACCCTGAATGATATTTCCCAGCTGGTTGATCACCTCCACATCGAACTTCTCGTTCTTGTGGATCCAGTCCATCAAGCGCTGCGTGTAGAGCTCCACATACTGGATGTGCTCGATGTTGTCGTCATGGTAGAAGTTGTGGTGGTTGTCGCGATGCCAGTCGTGCACGCCGTTGTAGCTGCGCAGGCCGCTGTAGTAGCCGGTGGCGACCGGTTCGTACATGTTGAAGGTGGGCACCTCGCCCAAGTCGTTGGACAGACGCTCCAGATACCAGCGGGCGAGCAGCTGCCAGTGGGTGTACAGGTAGAGCTCTCCGCGACGGTCCTTGTTCAGCACATGGTGCTCCGAGCCCTTGGTCCAGAAGGGATAGTCCAGGTTGTAGTAGTAGTAGAAGCTGTTGAAGCCAACATCCTCCAGGAAGTAGGCCATCTCGTGGTCGTAGTTCAGATTGCTGTAGTGGTTCGAGTAGTTTGACTTGAGCACCACATTGTAGATGTTGTCTATCTTCTTCACGTGGTGGAAGCCGTGCATCTTGTAGTGCTCGGCCATCTCCAGGGTCTGGGCGCCGAAGAAGCTCCAGGGGTGGATCTCGTAGTGGGCCGGCAGGATGATGCCCTGCATGTCGTCGCGGGCAATGGTGACGACGGTGAAGGCGTACACAAACAGCTGCTTGTTCACGTGCTGGCGGGCCCAGAAGACGGCGTGCTGGAAGGTCTCCCAGTTCTTGGCAAAGTAGAAGAGGCGCACCAGACCGATGGCGTACTCCTCATGGCGCTCATACATCACGGAAAACACCTGATCGTCGTGGAAGGGATGGTGCTGCCACAGCTCGAAGAAGTGCTCCAGCAACTCGGGGTGATTGTAGTCACCCATATGGGCCCATGGCTTGTAATCGGCGTAGGTGGCTGGGTATTCGGTGACGAACACATCGTCCTGGTAGATGTGCTGCATCATATCGAAGACAAACTTCTGCTTGCCCAGGAAGTCCTTGTCGGCCACCTTCGACTCAATGTGCTTGGCATGGCCGCCAAGGGCCAGCAGTGCCACCGAAAGAACTGCGAGTGCCGTGAACGACTTCATCTTGCGGAATCATACCACTGCTCCGTTTGCAGCCTGCATTTATACCCACCGCAGCCCAAGCCTCAGCGATAGCGAGATTTGCAGTCCGGCCAATGGCCGGTCGCTGGTGTAGCCTTGACATTTTGCGAGATCTCCGTTCGACCTCTGCCATTGCACCGATCCGAATTGCATGTGATAAGGCGTTGGATTGTAGCGCTGGATCGGTCCATCTATCGGCAAATGACGGTGCTCCAGCGGCAGGCCCTTCTTACAATAAATTTCGTAAGCGGTTCAGGTTACACTGATGCCAGATCACCTGTCGAATGTTACGTTACTAGGCGGGCAGGCCCAAGCCGCCGCTTGATAAGATTACACAGCAGCCGGCTTTGTTTTTGCATCGTCAGGTCGTTGTATGGTCAGGCGCATCATTATCAAGCGATACTAAAAATATTCCAAATTGCAAACATTAATCATGGAACAACAAGAGTAGAAAGCAAATCAAAGAAACGCATAGTCCATTTCCATACTTATGCAAATACTTGTGCAAATAATGTATATATGTATGTATATATGCACATATATATATATTGTGGATAGTTGGAACCATGAAGAAATACTCATTTTTGAAATACACTGGTTTCAGTGTGAGCATACAGCAGTCTGAATTTGGTGGCTCTAGCTCTTATAGTCTCTGAGAACTAGCCGACAAACAAGACGGACAGACGGACGGGTATAAAAAAAACAAAAACCACAAATAAATAAGACTAAAATTATGCAAAGTTGCACTGAAATCTTAAATAAATATTTTCTTTAGCTTTTCCCCAACAAAGTGGGTGTTGGATTGAAACCTGTCACAGTTTGGGTTTGATTCTGTACAGCTCAATCAGAACTAAAAATGGATCAGCCAAACGAGAATCAAATAAATAATCGAGAGCGAAGACGCTCCCGTCGTACTCGTAGTCTTCCTCCTTTAGCTGCCGCAGAGGAACCACAGATGCAGCCACCACATGAAGCCCACCCTCAAGAATAAGTCAGACGTCCTCCATATGAAGTTTCTTCATGGTTGGAACCATTGCGTATAGTCGGATGAGTCATTCTTTAAACGAAGCTTCGGAAAAATAATAATTCACACAATGGAAAATTACAATTGGAGACTTTACATCCATACGCACGTGGTCTCTTGTGGGAGACTTCAGATAATCGATAACATCTTTAAAGCCCTCAATTACGTCTTTGTTGCGACGCTAATGGACGCACTTCAGTATAAATGTAGCCTATTATGTTATTTAATTAATTTTCTTCTCTTTCAATAATTAAAAATTCGCGCGTTTTAACTCGCGTGTAGTAGAGTTGTCGCTGTTTCAGTTGATTTGTTTTTGTGCAGCTGCGACCAGGGATGGCATACGCTATCGATAGTTGACTTTCATAGTCGGACGTTAAAGCGATGATAAATTTTAAAAATCATATATTAGGTACACTTGCACTGAACATAAATAAATAAATTAGACTTGCTTTGAAATTATCATATACAAGTTCACTGACTTCGGTATTGCACGTTCTCAACTTTGAAGTCTACACCTTTCCTTTGTAACTTTGCGTAGATTAGCAGAGTCAGCAAATATGTATTTCGGTGACAAATTGATGGCACACGGTGGGATAGTCTGGGGAATTTGTTTAATGTTTGATTAACAAGTCTACGCAGAATAACAGGCTGTCAAAATAAGTCGCCCAATCTCCAAATATGTACTCACATTTGAAAATTAATTGCTCTTGTTTGCTCTCGTCTGTTGGTATAATTTTATTTTGTAAAAGCGGGCGGCCCCCGCTGCTTTTGTTAACATCCCATTCCTGACTAGTTGTGAATGTCTCAAAGCACTGCCAACAGCCTAGAAGTACGTTTACGCACACTATTACATCAACACACCGTTGCTTTTAGATCACGCACACACTCACTCGCTTTGACAGGCGTTTTTTTCCCTTTTCTTTTTTTTTTGCTTTATTTTATTCCGGGTGACCTTTGTAAATCCAATTTATCGAATATATATAGTAAAGTTTACCCATTATTCCGTCTGCAATGATGTCTGCAGAAAGCGAAACTTATGTAGCCAGTTATTGTGTGCTACCGGAAAGTGGTGATGCCGCCGCTACTACTTCAACTCCCGCGACTGCTGCCGATCCGGGCAATGATGATAATGCCTTCAAGATGCCAATGCCGCCAGCCAGTGCTGACAAGAATAAGCACCCCAGCTACTGCCTCCAGGGCGAGGTGTCTGGTCACAAGAGCAGCGTTGCATCGCTGAAATTCAGCGCGAATGGCGACTATTTGGTGAGCGCCTCCGCGGATCGTTTGCTCAAGTTGTGGGACGTGCGCTCGTTACAATGCATGCAGACACTGGGAGGAACTTCGGAGGGACATACGAATGGCATCAACGAGGTGGTGTGTTCGCTGGATGGCAAACTCATTGGCAGTGCCAGCGATGACAAAACGTTGAAGCTCTGGGACCCGAATAGCAATAGTTGCGTCAAGACCTTTCAGGAACATGAAAGCAGTGTGTTCTGCTGCTGCTTCAATCCGCAGTCCAATCTCATTGCGTCGGCCAGTTTCGACGGTGCGGTGCACTTGTGGGACCTGCGCACTGGCAGGCCCCTCAAGGCAGTGCGCGCACATGGCGATCCCACTACATCTGTGGACTTTAACCGCAACGGCAGCCACTTCATTACGAGCAGCCACGATGGATTCGTGAGAATGTGGGAAACCGGAACTCTGCACCTCGTGAAGACGCTGATAACTGACGACGACAACCCCGTGGTGGGCCACGCCACATTCTCTCCCAATGGCAAATACATACTCACCTCCAGCTTTGACAGCACCCACAAATTATGGAACTACGAAAAGTCCAAGGTACTGCGCCGATACACTGGACATCACAACGAGGCCTACTGCCTGAATGCCAACTTTTCCGTTACGTCCGGCACGTGGATTGTGTCGGGCAGCGAGGACAAATCGCTGTGCATTTGGAGTCTGCAAACCACTGAACTGGTACAGAAGATTGACACCAACGGCGACTTGGTCATCTGCACCGACTGCCATCCAAAGGAGAACATCATTGCCACTGGTTCCCTTCTCAAGCCCTTCACCATCAAAGCATGGAAGAGCTGTGATTAGTCTGTTGCAGTAGGAACACTTTGCTGCCGCTAAGCGCCAGGCCAATCCATACAAATTGAGCAAATAAACCGATTCAAATTGACCCATAAGTGTTTGCTTGAAGTGGTGATGGTGGGCGGCACTGCCGTTGAGCAGTCTCTGCTGCTATCACTGTGTAAACACTTGTTAACACGATAAGCCGGTAACTGGTCTTGTAAATCATATATGTATTCCCGGTATATGCCGGCAAACAGAACCGCTTTCGATCGCTATCTCAGCCCAGACGGTTAGTCGGCCAATCGGCCAGTTGTCGAGACAGGCCGAAACTGATGGAGTGTCACTCAAGTCTGGAACGGCGTATAGAGCGGTCGCGTATGGTCTCTCCAGTTATCGCTTAAGTGTTTGCTCTCTCTCTCGCTCTTCGTGTCGCTGTATTGTTGTGATCACAACTACAAACTAATCCACGATGAGGGCGGATGAGGGTGAGTATTCGCTTCCAGCTGCTTGCAGGGAATTCCCGGATGCATTTGACTCAAGGTTACCCAGACAGCTGACAGTGCGCAATCGCATTTTTGAAGCCAATATGCTCAGCAATAAAATCAATTGTAGCCAATCGAGCGAATACGTGCCAATTCAAAAAAGTGTATCGGTGGCGGAGAGGCTTATCTTTTGGGGTAGACCGACTGATAAGGCCACCGAAAGTGCTACCAAGGGAGATTCAATGATTTGATTTCAATCTCCGTGGGGGGCTATCAGAATGTACCCAATAAATGGAGATTGTAAACTAATCTTCCGACTCATTTGCTGACCTACAGATCATCTATACAGGGAGCAACTTCCGAGCGTCGGCTCTCTGCTCAGGGACAGCGGAAGGAAGCTGTGTCGCCCGTCGACCATCACGAACAAGTTTCCCATCCTCCAATGGCTTCCTCGCTACCGCATTGAGTACTTGATGCAGGATTTTATTGCCGGTTTCACCGTGGGACTCACTACCATACCACAGGCCATTGCCTATGGTGTGGTGGCTGGCTTGGAGCCGCAGTACGGCCTGTACTCGGCCTTCATGGGCTGCTTCACCTACATTGTGTTTGGCTCCTGCAAGGATGTCACAATCGGTAAGGAGACACACTGTTCAGTCTGTTCAAATACTCACTTTACACTACCGCAGCCACAACTGCAATCATGGCTCTGATGGTGAACCAATATGCGACCATTAGTCCGGACTACGCGGTGCTCGTTTGCTTCCTGGCCGGCTGCATTGTGCTCGTCCTGGGACTGCTCAACATGGGAGTGCTCGTGCGCTTTATCTCGATACCAGTCATCACGGGTTTCACCATGGCAGCGGCCACCACCATTGGCAGTGCACAGATCAACAATATAGTCGGACTCAGCAGTAAGTGGGAAACAATTTGGAGCCAAGTAGAATCTAAATTGGATTGTTCTTGAACAAAATCTAGGTCCATCGAACGATTTGCTGCCGTCCTGGAAGAATTTCTTCACCCACTTGCCTTCGATTAGGAAATGGGACGCACTGCTGGGTGTGTCTTCACTCGTATTCCTGCTGCTCATGAAGCATGTGAAGGACATCAAGTGGGGCAACCGCATCTTCTGGAAGTACCTGGCTCTCTCGCGCAACGCCTTGGCCGTGATCTTTGGCACATTCCTGGCCTACATACTCAGCCGCGATGGCAACCAGCCCTTCCGTGTCACCGGGAACATCACAGCGGGTGTACCACCCTTTCGTCTGCCGCCCTTCAGCACCATCGTTGATGGAGAGTACGTTTCCTTTGGCGAAATGATCAGCACAGTGGGCGCCTCGCTGGGCTCTATACCGCTGATATCGATTTTGGAAATTGTGGCCATATCCAAGGCATTTTGTAAGTATCAGCCACTCGGCAAACGCTCTCTAAATAATATTGTTTACAAAAGAAAGTCGCACACACACATTCACAAGAACTTGTTTTGTGCATTCTCTCTGACGGTATGAATCATCCGATCGCGACGGTTTTTTTCGTTCATAATATCAGTTCAGTAAAGTCTCGAATCGAGTGCCCATATCTAATGTAATTGCTTTCGCAGCAAAGGGCAAAATTGTGGATGCATCGCAGGAGATGGTGGCCCTGGGCATGTGCAATATAATGGGCAGCTTCGTGCTGTCCATGCCGGTGACGGGTTCATTCACGCGCACAGCGGTCAACAATGCCAGCGGAGTGAAGACGCCTCTGGGAGGAGCCGTCACGGGTGCGCTCGTGCTCATGGCGTTGGCCTTCCTCACACAAACCTTTTATTACATACCCAAGTGCACGCTGGCATCCATCATCATAGCGGCCATGATATCGCTGGTGGAGCTGCACAAGATTGCGGACATGTGGAAGTCAAAGAGTGAGTTGCGGTCGGCTGTGGGATCTTTCCTCCGCAGATTCTAATCCAAGTTTTGCTCTTGCAGAGAAAGATCTGTTCCCGTTTGTGGTGACAATTGTTACGTGCACGTTTTGGAGCCTGGAGTATGGCATTCTCTGCGGCATTGCCGCCAATCTGGTTTACATTCTCTACAGCAGTGCGCGTCCGCAGGTCTACGTACGATTGGAGAAGGTAAGCCGTAAGCCACGAGTGTGATTGCAGCCAAATTTGAACGTTTTCCAACACCTGCAGATAAATGGCCACGAGGTGAGTGTGGTGGATGTCAAGCAAAAGCTAGATTATGCGTCAGCGGAGTACCTTAAAGAGAAAGTGGTTCGCTTCCTGAACCAACAGAGTGGCGAAACGAGTCTGGTTGTGATCAAGGGCGAGGAGATCAACTCCATTGACTACACAGTCGCCATGGCAAGTGTTTTCCCTTCCATTTATTGTCCGTTCTTTTTTTAATAAAATTCTTTTGCAGAATATTGTCTCCCTGAAGGGTGATTTGGATGCTCTCAACTGTGGTCTCATCTGCTGGAAGTGGAACTATGCCTCCGCCGGCGTTGTTTGCCGTCTGAAGAACGACATTCGTCCCATCTTCAAGTTTGATCTGACACTCGAGGAGCTGGTGGCCTCCCACTACGATACTCCTTCCAACTCAGCCTCGACTGTGTCGATTGAAGCCTAACTACCCTCTAAGCTCCTAAGACAGTATTTGCCTCAGACCAGACCTGGAATTACTTAATGCTGTAATAGAAAATAAGATGCATGCTCTACACTGGCGACAATGTGTCTGGCGGATCGCTAGCTATAGAATTACGTCTGGGCTTCGGGGAAGGCTTGCCCCCATGTCACAATAGTTGGGCAACAAAATTAATTGAGCCGTTGACCGCAAGGCTGACGGGACCTTTCTTCGAACCCTGGCCCGGGGAGAAATGTAATTTATGACCTTCCCAGGCACTTCACAACTCGAGGCCCTCGAAAACAAGTGGATGGAGAGGGAGAGTCGGAGCAGGGAAAGTCCTTTCACCGTAGCGCACGAACAGCAAGCAAAGAGAGTTCTTAGTCTTGTTCTTGGAAGACAACGGTTCAACTTTAATTACGAATTATGATGCGTTTGCTGTCGCCTGGCTGTAGTTACCGAGAACCCGTTGCCCGGTGGGATCGAATGGGCTGCGCAAGTGGCAATCGGCTGGGTATCGCCTGCCCAGAATCTCCACTTCGTATTGGCCGCCGCGCACGTACTCAGCGTCAATGGTTTGTCCATCTGGTCGCTCGACGTAGGCCTGTCCCAGGGACTTGCCGAGTGTATAGGCGTACTCTGCCCGTCGCAGTATCCCCACTGGCTCTCCATTGCGGTAGACTCCCTCCAGGCCCCAAATGGGAACCTGCTCCTGCAGCGTCAGATAAACGAGGCGCTTCCTTACACCCTCGGAACGCTGTCGCTCGATGGCCGCTTTGCCACGGTAGTCGCTGCCGCTCTTGCGGCAGGTGAAGCCCAGGCCAGCCTCTAGCGGAGTGTCGTCTGGGCGCAGGTCAAAGCTCCACAAATGGTAGCCCTTCTCGCTGCTCAGGGAGTAGAGTGCACGGTAGCCAGCGTTGCGCAGACCACGAGACGCGCCAGCAGCCATCAGGGCTTTGTAGACGGCGACACAGTCAGACTTGGGCACGTGCAGTTCGTAGCCCAGTTCTCCCACGAAGCTGACACGCAGCAGACGAAGCCCGATGCCCTTGAACTTGGCCAGGCGCGTGCAGTTGGGTGGCAGCTGCTCGTCGGAGAGCTCACAGTCCAGCAGGGGCTGCAGGATGTGGCGACTGTTGGGCCCTTGAATCGAAATGACGCCCATTTCAGCAGTTAGATCCTTAAGACTGGCCTCGAAACCCTGCCTGCGAATCTCATCCAGCAGTGTGCTGTACGTGTAGTAAGCCGAAGCACCTCCTGCTACTATGTAGTACGCCTGCCCGCTAAACTTTGGATCGTAGATTTGCCCCGAACCTGAAGCCAGTCGCGTTATGGTGACGTCCGCTTCGACGCCGCCAGTTGCATTCAGAGCGCAGCTGTAGACAGTTCTGGAATGCACATTTATGTATGGAAAGAGTGATCTGTGGCATATTCTGAGGGTTGACTCACTTGCTTGGGTCTCGATTTGTGTTGGCAGCGAAGAGCCAGTCGGCCGCCTGCTGAGCCTGCGGTCCTTCAAGCAGCAGCTTGGCAAAGTAACTCATGTTGAAGACAACCGCATTGTTGCGGCAGGCCAAAGCCTCCGACTTGATCTGCAAACCAAGTTACATGTAAAATAATCTTTAATATGGAGACAACTTTCCACTTACCAGTTCATGATGCTCTGAGAATCGTCCGTAATGCAGATCGCCCTCGAGCACCTGCTCGTAGACGCTGTCCTGATGCCGTGAATGTCCGTAGCTGCCATACCAGTCGTATGGCTGAACAGCAGCTCTGTCTGCTCCCGAGGCCAGAAAGTAGCCGGGACGCTCCCAGCCCTGCTTCTCCTCCATGACGGCGTTGGCCAGCAGCATTTGCTCGTGCAGCGGATCCTTCTGGAAGTCCCTGCCTGCCAGCGGCTGATCGTACTTGAACACCATGCTGTAGTTCTTCACGTAGCTCTCGTGCGACTTCTCACGTATCCACTGAGTGGCGCGTCCCTGCTCAGGCGTGAAGCGGCGCAGATCGAAGCCGAACATGGGCAGATCCGGCTGACCATTGAGTATCCACAGGGCAGTCTGCTCGCCACAGCCGCCGCCGAACATCATGCCAGCGGAGTTGAAGCCGCAGTTGTGGTACAGTCCGCTCAGTACAGGATCGGGTCCCATCAGTGGCTTGTGGTCGGGCGTGAAGGACTCGGGACCGCATACGGTGCTCTTCACCCCGTACTTGGCGTAGCTGGGGCACAGCTTCTGGGCACCCTCCACGTGCGTCTCAAACACCGACCAGTCCAGCTCGTAGAGGCCAAAGTGGAAGTCCTTTGCCACTGGATCCAGCAGGATGGGGTTAGGTTCGTAGCCACCCATGCAGATAGCATCGCCCTGGATGCGGAAGTACGTGGAGAAGTCATGGTCCCGAATATTGGGCAGGCCACGTACACCCGGAATCGATTCGGACACAATGTAGGCGTGCTTCATCGGCACCAGTGGCAGATGGGAGCCGTGCTTGGCCACCAGATCTCGCCCCCAGACACCTGTGGCATTCACCACCCTTTCCGTGCGTATGTTGCCGTGAGGCGTTGCCACGCCCACTACCTTTTTGCCCCGTGATGTCTGCTCAAGGAGAATGTCTTCGACTCCGCAATTTTCGATCACTTGTCCGCCTCGATGGGTGGCCGCTTTCTTGAGTGCCGAACACAGCATGGCCGGATCCATGACCCCATCGCCCGGGGAGTACAAAGAGCCAATAAAGGCAGTCGGATCGAGTAGCGGAAACAACTTCTGGGTCTCCTCCGGACCGAGAATCTGATTCTCAATGCCCAGCGCGGATCCCACAGTGGCCAGGCGTCGGTACTCGTCCAGCCGCGTCTCGTTGTGGGCAATGAAGAGGCCTCCGTTCTGTATCCAGCCGGGATCCAGGCCCGTTTCCGCCTCCAGTTGCTGCAGCATTTGGCGCGAGTTGGCCAGCAGCTGGATGTCAACATCGTTGGGCCGCAGACGCCAGAGCAGACCGGCGGTGTGCCAGGTGGTGCCGGCTGTGAGCTGGGCACGCTCCAGGAGCACCGCCCTCACCCCACGCCGTGCCAGATGATACAGGGTATGACATCCTGCCGACCCGCCACCGATTACCACCACATCCGCCGATGCTGGCAGGCTCCCAGTCGGTGCGCCCGCTCCTCGCTGCTGGCTAAGGGCCCGCGGCGAGCTGAGGCTGAGCAAGGCTCCTCTATGGCTGACAGTCTCCTTCCGGACCGATGTCTGATGCAAAATGCGATGGCGCCACATATTCAAGATGCTGCCTCGCGCGACGAATACAGAATCTAGACTGAGACCCAAGCCCCCGGATTTCGAAGACAGCAAGGGAACTTAGCTTTTTGTCGATGGGTTTGCTGAACCTTGGGGTCGCCATTCTCCTGATAATCTTTGATTCCATGACGTCCCACGTCGATAACGAGAGACACTGATCAAGGCATCGCACAGATGTGGTTGGGAAACTATCCGCTCTCTCTCTCTCTCTTTCTCTCTGCCTGAATCTTATCTCGGAAGTGTGCCAAATACTAGTTTCGGGCTTCCTAGGGTTATCTTCTCAATGCCAGAATAAAATACAATAAAGTAGATCTTACCCGAAGAGGTTTATAGTGGATCAATTGCTTGAGCTGTGACCTCATACAGGATGCATAAAAGCAGAGCAGAACTGCAGGATTATGATCACTCTTCTGCGACATTTAATGTTTTGTCTCAGGGGCTGCCACCAGGTGGTTCCAGCTGGAAGCTTGGCACGCTTCACACTCGCTTATCGCAGCATATCCTAGCCTTTAGGGTGTGAGAGCTAGTCTCGGAAATACACGCCAGCGGTTAAACAACAGCAACAACAACAGATAGTTGATTCATTTTGTTTTTTTTTTCAAACCGAACCCAACCGAACCAATGTGGTGGCAGCCAGCAGCAGCAGGAGAGTGCCGAGATCGCACCATGTGTTGGTTCTTCCGCCAATTGCAGACGCTACACGGGAGCGGGGCACCGCCTACAAGTGCCAGAAATAGATGGATCTGAGAATGGAGAAGATGAGTGCACAAAAAGGAGGATTCTCTCGTCACTCTCCACAGAAGTGCTCTAATTGTGCTACAGATCGGACGTCGTTCGTTGATTTCGTGTTTGCTTTCGGTTTAGCTTCGGTTACGGAATTAACTTTCATATTATACGATTCCCAATCCATACAGTTTTGTTGATTATATCCACATTTTGAAGAGTGATTTTCAGTGATCAGTGATCACATAATGCCACGCAAGAAGCGTTCCTCCAGCCCGATAGATTTCTACGATGAGGACTTTGATGAGGATGCCAGTTCGCAAAGTAAGCAGAAATCCTGTGAAAAGAAAAGGCAGTTACAGTCATAAATTACCTTGTTTAGGCTCCCAACCTCCAGTGCAACGGAATGCAGCAAATGCCCGGGAACGGATGCGTATGCGAGTCCTGTCAAGTGCATACGGACGTCTGAAGACCAAATTGCCCAACATTCCGCCCGACACGAAGCTCTCAAAGTTGGACACGTTACGTTTGGCGACGCTCTACATTAAACAGCTAATTACAGCCGTCGAGACGGGCAGCCACAGCCACAGCCATAGCCATAGCCATAGCCACTCGAACAACAGCGGAATGGATGCCCTGGACACGAGTCACATGCCAGAGGCGTCACACGGTGGTGGGGCCAACGTGGGAGGAGGAAGCATAAGCGGAGGCAATTTCCATTTCCACAATGGAGGACACAGCGGCATGGTAAGTGTCACTGCAATAGCAATCTCTCTCGCGATCCGATCCCAGTCCTACTCTGCACAAGTTAAGTGATGTCAGTGGCACCACTTAACGCTGCATTGAGCATGCGTCCATCTGCAGCTGGGCGCCGTCAAATGCCATGCCTGACAGGTGTCATAGGGGATTCCCCAGTGATCGTTCATCATCTTTATCAAATTGGGTATAGCTAGAAGAGTTTTTAGGCCAATTAAATAGGAAGTTAGAACAGGTCAAGGATGATTCGGTTTGTCATATATCTCGCCATCATTTTAACTAGAGCAAAGTTCACGATCTCTATCTCTGCCTTAGGAAAGAGTTATCAAATCTCCGCCAATCTTGGCGGTTTCTCTGATAGTAGAAGCCGTCGGCAGCATATTTCATCCCATATCCGCTGCTCAGTGCAGATTATATAGGACCATTCTAGGCTCCTGGTTTCCTACATTAAATGGATACAAGATGAGGCAATATTCATGCAGTTTTATATTTATTGGGCAACATCTGCTCCGCCGTGGAAGTATTTCCTACTTTCTGTATTCAGAGGTGGGCCACATCGCCTACCCTTCCTCCTGAGCAGGCCAGTCGCGGTGGCAGTCAGAGTCAGTGCGCGGCCCCCCCACTAGAAGAGCGACATTCAAATCACATTTTGTGATTTCAGTTTGCCTTTGCTTTCCTGTAATTCGATACTTTTGTGAATTTCAAAAATATTAAATATGAGTGACAGGCTGGCTCATGGAGACAGTCTGCGGAGAGACCGCGCAGGCAACATTAGTTAGTCTTTGCTTTATTTTTAAAGATGTTCGACTTTGATGCGCCCAAAGTGAATGACATCCAAGGGAAAAGTGTCGCCGCGACGGATCAGAGCAGACCAGACCACGGCCATGCAGAGAAGAACAATTTTCTCATTTGGATAATTGTAATTAAAAGTTGTGTGCCTAACCAGATACTTATTCTTCTCCAAAATGGAGGAGGTTTACACAATCTGTCTGCATAGATTCATGGCATACCGCCTGGCTACTTGTCCAAATAGAAGCAATTGTTTACTCAATTGAATGCGTGAAAATATCAGCAAATATTTCCCCGTCTTGTGCCCATATGGAGGCAGATCTCTCAAATCGTTCCAGTTCTCAGCCCCTTTTCCGTTCCAGCACCCTAATTTATCCCACACTCACGCACGCGCCGCCAAAAGTTGACATGTGAACGCTGACGATCAGCAGCGTCTGCTGGGAATATACGCAACGTAACGTAACGTAACCCGTTGGCTCGGTTTCCCGCGATCCCTTTTCCTACACGCGGCCCTTTATGGGCTGCAATTCGGTGTCTGTGTCTTCTGTCCTCTGTCCGCAAGTGTTTGGCTGGGCTGTTTATGTTTTTATAGATTCGTTAATGAGGCTGTTATTGTTGATCTATGAAAACATTTCCAAGAGGAGCCACTAAAAACAATCAAAGTTGTATAAACAAACAAAGGCGCTGCTGTCGTTGTCGGTTGTCGTCATATTGTTCCATATATAGCGGTTCCATGCGGTTTTCCTCTGCCTCTATGATTTATGAAAACATCCACAACCACATTTCCTTTCAGAGCTGGCCCTTTGAGTTCCATCAGAGCAATCGCAGCCTGCCATTTGGCTCCTCCGCCTCCCGCATGGACTGGCAGTCGCTGCAGGCCCAGTCCTATCCCAAGCCCGCACGCATCGAGTTGGACATTCCGGCCGATCTCAGTTACGCCCAGTTGCAGGAATCGCATGGCCACTGGTACCATTCGGAGATGCATCAGATGGAGGTGACGGCCACTATCAATGGATGCGCCTATGAAACCGCCACAGCGGGAATGGGACAGCACCAACGGAGCATAGCAATAGCTACCAGCCATGCCCATGGCTTATAAAATGCATTTAAAATAATAAATGAATGGTGTTCTCACTCAGCTCAAGCCAAATGTAACTTACTAACTAATCGTAATTGTATTAAATCGTGATTTAAATGTACTTTTACTTACAACTAAATAATTAATTCATAACTATTTTAATAGCAAATATATGTCTTTATCAACACTGAATCTTCGCGCCACATTTTGGACACTGACTTTTTCCTATGCTGCAGCCATGGTAATTTGGAGACCCTGGTAAACAGCTGATGGCACAAACAAAGAGATTTTATAAACAAAGCTGATGATATTTCTTTCACGCTCATCCCGAAGCTTGTATGCCCTTAACGAAGCAAGAACAGTCAGTTTCATAGCTAGTAAAATCACAATCAACTATAAATTAAAATTATGGGGCGGGAAAAACGTTTTAGTGGAAATATAAGATTAAAATAGTACAGTATATCAGACTAACAGAACTCGGTGGACGTCCGTCAAAGCCTGAATATGGCAAACCAGTAGTAGAGTATAGCCATCGCGTATTTACGAGATAACAAGAAGTGCAAGTGGATTTACTCACAAATATCTTGAAACACAATAAATTACATGTATTCGAGTACATACAGTGCGACGCGGTTAAAGTTCACGTTCGGGAGCTGGGAGTCGCGATTAGATTTCGAATACGCTTTAGAAGTGCAGCTAATCGGAATTAATGTTTGTCCACTCCACACAGTTATTAGTTACTAGTAGCACGGGTAGCACTCAACAAGCACTTAAAAGTTGTTTCTTTAGTTAGTCAGTACGCGCTCTCCGACGAGGACGGAAGCTTTATTGGCTGTGCACACGCGAATCCAAGCCCGGGGAATCGAGAACCTGTTTTAGCCATCGACCAGTACGAGACCTGCATCGAAATGCCATCCAAGGAAGTGAATCCCGATCTGCTAAAGGAGCGCCAAACAGCTACCTTTGATCCCCATGAGTTTTCGGTGTTCTGGGCTGGTGGCGAGGAGAGATACAAAGAGAAGAAAAGCCTTGGTAAGTCTCCGCTCTCATAAAACAGATACACTCGTACCCACATACATGTGAGCATGTGTAATTGCTCGTTTGCTTGTATGGGTGGGGTACCCAGTGCCATTCACTGAAGAAATAAAAAATTAACCGGTCGGTTAATAGCTGTACTCCCCAGCTCTAGCCAAGCTTGGCGCAATCCAATCGCGTTTCAAAATCTCCAGCGCCTTAAAAATTGTGCCAGAAGCATGACGCAGCAGAAAAATACATTAATTATTTAAAACTGATAAACTAAATCTGGACTCGATGAAGAAATTCTTATCAGCAATGCAATTGTGTGGGTTTGTGTTTTCTCTCTGCACAAAATCTTTTATCAGAGTCTTTGTCTTGATAAGCTGCTTCTTCGGCCTATCCATTCATTAGTTTAGTGCACGCTTTTGCCTAGTTCATTAATTATGTACGTTTTTCAAAAGACGAACAGACCACTAAAACAGAATCGTAACCTTTAGGCCAAATTATCTCCAGCTAGAGCAGCTCCAGCAGCCACACTCAGCGGGTGTTAATCTTTGCACCAGCTTTGCACTTTGGCAGCTATTTCTTGATAAATCAGAATAGCCGTGTACTTTGGAATCCTATAACGTAGGAACATGTTTGGAGCTGCTCTTATTTAATCTATTTATAAAGCCACTTGAAATAACTCTATGGCAAATCGCTGATACTATGCTTATCTGGCAGGTTTGGCATAATAAATGGCAAAAGGACAACTTTGCTAACATCGATCGGTTGATAAGAAATGAAATCCATCATTAAAACTTTTATTTATCGCTAATCTTTAAATAGAAAAAATATTCCTCGAGGACCCGGAACTAAAGGATGACCTACCAATCTCTTACATGTCGCACAAGGAGCTGTACGAGCACAGTCTACGAAAGGCTTGCATCATTGGCGAGAAGATACGAAAACTGCGCGCAGACGGCGAGGATGGCGTCGATACCTACAAGTAATTAATCCATTAATAATCCCATTAATCATCATAGCTTCTACATAGTTCCCTTGGCTATTTTCTAGTGCGCTGCTTGGTGGCTCTCTGGGCGCTGCCATATTGAAGGAGGGCAATCCTTTGAGCCTACACTATGTGATGTTTGTGCCCACCATCATGGGTCAAGGCACCATGGACCAGCAGGTGGAGTGGCTGAGCAAGGCATGGGACTGCGAGATTATTGGCACCTATGCACAAACAGAGCTGGGACATGGAACCTTCTTGCGGGGCCTGGAAACTCGGGCTGACTACGATGCCAGAACCCAGGAGTTTGTCATAAACACGCCCAGTCTTAGTGCCTACAAGTGGTGGCCAGGAGGCTGTAAGTAGACCACAACCAAGCGATAATCGATTTCAAATTAACAACGTTTCCATTCACAGTGGGTCATACGGCAAACCATGCTGTTGTGGTGGCCCAGCTGTACACCAAGGGCGAGTTCCGTGGCCTTGCGCCGTTCATCGTCCAGCTAAGGCACTCAGACACTCACAAGCCTCTGCCCGGCATCGACATCGGGGACATTGGTACGAAACTGGGCATGAAATCGGTGAACAATGGCTACCTGGGTCTGAAGAATGTCCGCGTTCCTCTGAACAACATGCTGATGAAGAATCAACAGGTTCTGCCCGACGGCACCTATGTGGCGCCAAAGAACAGCGTTCTCACCTACGGAACAATGGTATTGGATAAATTTGCTTTAATATTCTTGCTTTAATATTCATCTTATAATTCCAGATGTTTGTTCGGTGCGCTCTGATTCGCGACACAGCTCTGAGCCTGGCCAAGGCTTCTACCATTGCCACAAGGTACGCGGCGGTACGTCGACAGAGTCCCATAGATCCGAATCAGCCGGAGCCACAGATCATGGACCACACCACACAGCAACTAAAGCTGTTCCCCCAAATAGCCAAGTCGATTGTGTTCAAGACCACCGGTGACGGCATTTGGAACATGTACAACGTCCTGTCGGGGGAGATCGAACAGGGTAACCTGGATCGCCTGCCCGAGATGCATGCCCTGTCCTGCTGCCTGAAAGCCATCTGCAGTGCTGACGCTGCCGCTGGTGTGGAGACCTGCCGTCTGTCCTGTGGCGGACACGGCTACATGGACTGCTCCAACTTCCCGACCATATACGGCATGACGACAGCTGTCTGCACGTACGAGGGTGAAAACACAGTAATGTTGCTTCAGACTGCCCGATACCTGGTTAAGGTATACGGCCAGGCGTTGAACGGAGAGAAGCTGGTGCCAACAGTGGCCTACATCAACGACGCGCTGAGGGAAAGAGAGTTTGTCAATTTCGATGGTTCGCTGGAATCCATTGTCAAGGCGTTCCAATTTGTGGCTGCCAAGTAAGTAAATCCTCTGATCTGCTGTGGAATCTATCCATCAATATTTTGTCATTACAGCAAAATCCGAATTGCCTATGAGCAGATTGAGCAACGTCGTAAACAGGGTCATAGCACCGAAACGGCAGCTAATCTGAGCGGAACCTTTTTGACGGCAGCGGCAGACGTAAGTCAAAATCACAATTGTAGTTGCACCATTAAAAATCCAAACAATTTAATGTATGCAGCTCCATGGACGCGCCTTCCTGGCCGAGTCAGCCTATAAGGAACTGCTGGCTGTGTCACGACAGGTCTCGCCAGCGCTGGCCGATGTGCTGAAGGTGGTGCTAGAACTGTACTTGGTTGATGCCTGCCTCAATCGTATTGGCGACTTCTTGCGAGTAAGACTTGCAATTGTTGTTAGTTCTGAACATTTTAATTAACTTTTAAATGCTTCCAGTTCATCAATATCACCGACAAAGATGTCACAACGTTGGAGATTCGCCTGCAAAACTGCTTGAGGCAATTGCGACCAAATGCCGTCACCTTGGTGGACAGTTTCGATTTGCATGATCGCGTTCTGGACTCTGTACTGGGGGCGTACGACGGCAATGTGTACGAACGCATATTCGAGTCGACCAAAAAGAATCCGCTCAACAAGGAGCCTGTGAACGAAGCATTCCACAAGTACCTGAAACCCTTCATGAAGGCACACCTCTAAATACATAAATACACTCATTATTAAAGGGGCCACATGCCCCGCTATTGTTACTCGTGTTAATATTCTATTGTTGTGCAGTTGAAGCTAGGCTGTAAAGTTATACTCGTACGAATAAATAAACCATTTTTTAGGTATTCTACAAAAGCAGCTTGTGTGGTCGTATAGCTTAACTTAATCGTTTTATTAGCGGTTACTATACTGACAGAGTTGAAAGTGGCTAGATAGATGGATAGAGAGTGTCCCATTGTGTTTACTTCATTCAATTATGAACGGACAATGTCTGGTGCCACTTGTGTTTATGACGACGTACTTGACGGGTTCTTTGAGTTGCGCAGGGCATACAGACGCCTCAGCAAACGGTTGCCAGTAAGGAATGTGAATATTGCGATGGGTATCAGGAGGCGCAGGGTCTGGAACATGTTCAGTTGCAGCCAGAAGACAAAGAACAGAAGCAGAATACCGCCAAAGCCCACGTGAAAGCCGATTGTGCTCGGTGCCAGAGTGAAGTTGGAGACATTAACGCCCAGCTTGCCCCAGAAGATAAAGAGCAGGACCAACGGGGTAATGCAGAGTCCAGTGAATATGTCGGACACAATACGTGGCGGCCGCTTGTCTGGCACCCGGAATTGATGCACAATCTCAGGCCTGGGTCCTGAAGGAGTTTTCGATTTGACTTCTGCAAAAAAGGAGTAACATGTTTGTAAGTTACACTCTGAATAGTTAAGGCATTGCCCACATACCTCTATCCTCGTTGAATTTCAGTTGAATCTCAGCCACCAGCCATTCGAAGGAGTTGGAAAGCGAAGCATCACCCACAGTCAGGTAGATGTTGTACGTGCCACTCTGGTAGTTGAAGTTTTTGCCATTGCTGCCAATGTCCATGTCAAATTTGTAGGCCTTGCTGCTGTCCTGCTCTGCCACAAAGATAATCTCCTTGTCCGTTGCCTTGTTGTAGAGACGCACAAATGCTTGGTGGACGGCGAGTGGCTTGTTGTTGGACTCCTCTACCAATACGGTCCTCAGCAGCAGCTTTTGGGTGGTGTCCGCCGACAGGGTCTCCTTCAGCTTGCTGGGATACGTGACGCTTTGCTTACGCGTGGCAGCACTGGCATCCGATTCGGCAATGCCAATCTCGAGAGACTGCACCTTGACGCGTCCGAGTACTTTGAATTGCAGTGACTGCGTGTAAACGCCATCGGCACTCAGTTCGGCCTCATAGACGCCACGAACTGGCTTCAAGCTCGCCAAATCGGCCACATAGGTGGTCTTGTCTGAGGACTTCGAAGTCACTGTGATTTTCTCAGCCAGCACAGAATTATCCTTCTTGTTGAACACCTTGGCAGCGATGACCTTCAGGGCGGGGGACAGCGGCTTGCCGAGCAAATCAACAATTGCAATGTACAGCGCGGGTGCCTGAGCGTCCAACTGGCCGTTTCCGATCAGCTGCACACAGACTGGAGCAATCTTTTCGGAAGCCCCAATGGTCTTCAATGCCTCAATCAATACGTGCGCTCCCTTAGCGGACTGCACCGAACGGCGACTCAGGAAATAGTTGGCGAACTTGACAGCCTGTGCGGCACTGACTGGTGCTGGCTTGTTGTAGGCCTTGGCAACGCCGAAGGCTCCGTTAATGATCAAGGACGTGATACTTAAGCCTCCCTCGAACTGAAGGAGCTTGCCGTCCACCTCATCCGCCTGGACAATAGCGTCTTCAACGCGATTTGCAATGAACTCGGCACCGCTGCCCAGCTGAACAGCCACATTGAAACCGTAGCCCAGACCAGTGAGTGTGTCGTCCTTCTTCAGCAGCTCCTGGAGTCGCTTTACAACCTTCGCCTGAGTAGCCTCGCTGACCTGCACACCTAGTGCTTTGTGTGTGACTAAGCGATAGTAAATCTCTTGAGTGCTGCCTAGCTCGGAGTCCAGCGAACTGTAGACCTTCGAGAGCAGGGCTTCTTCAAGTTTCGCCGAGCAGCCGAGGTTCTTGCTAGCACCAATGTAATAATAGTCCTTTTCGAAGCTCTGAAACCGAAAACCAAGGCGATGATTCATGGTGCAGTGCAAATTTGTGAAGTACTCACGTTCAACTTGGATTCCTCATGCAGGGCCGCTATCTTCTTACACAGCGGTTCCTTCTGGGTGGCATCGGTCAATTGAATGTTTAGGCTGGAGAAAAATATGGCTTGCAGATCATTGGAACCGAATCCCTCCACAAAGACTTTTTGCAGGCGGGTGAGATCCTTTGTGCCCAAATGGCTGTCCACGGTACGTGTGCTCCACGTTGGCGCACAGGCGCATAGTACGCAGAAGAGCGTCAGACCTGCAATATAACATGGCCATGAGAATTACAAGTTCGAGGGGCAGCAAGAACATCACATCGCCGGCAATCGCCTAACCACGAAAATCAGACAGAGACAGAACGACAATATCGAAGCCGGCGTTTGCTATGCCAGTGGCCGAAACCCTTTATCTGCGGGCACATCTGCAGCAAACTCTACGTACCTAGCTTCAACATTTTCCTATGTTGTGTTTGCGTTCAACAACTTTGCTTATATTCTACAAGGAAAACAAATAAAAATCGCTCAAAATAGCCAGCACCGCCTGTCTTCAGCTTCGATATTCACAGACACGTCAGCGGCACAGTGTTGCCAATTTAGCTATTTTCCCACTAGCTCTAGCTAGTGAGAACTGCCAAATGCGTGATATATATTATAAAATAGCGGGTAGCGGGAATTATAGCCGTTTGTTGCATATGTGCACTACGCACTACACCGGGAAGATAAATGCTGCCATAATGTGACAGAAGAAGGGAAGAAAGGGACAAATCTTACTTACTCAAGTAAATAACGTTTGAACACTCAAGGGTTGTTTTAGCTGTCAACCATTTCTAGCTTTTTTATCACCCGAAGAATTGGCAACACGGCAGCGGCAGTGGTGCAAAATCATCGATAGTAGTATCGAAACATGGAACCAAATACTGTCAAGTGTCGAAAGGGGCCATTATTCTGTGGACTACTTAAAAATAATTAAATTCCCTTTTGAACACAGACATCTGTAAATCAAATGCGTTGCTTTTAAATAACCCAACATATTCCCTGTCATCAGGATCATTTTGCTGACAAATTCTGCGGATGCAAGTGTGACCATGCACAAAATACAAAAACACCAGAGCCATCGATAGTCAGAACATATGTAAGTATATTTGAAACAAATTAATTTAACGACAACGCAAATTTTTCTACTCTTGAAAAATTGTAATTCATCATTCTCGGATCGCTGAAAGGCGGTAAAAAAATACATGATAATGATCAATTCCGTAGTAAGCATGTACCTCCCTATGGGGCAAACTTTTCGGTGCACTCTTGAATGGGTCGTGTGATCAAGTACTTCTTTTTGAATGTCTTTGTTGGATCGCCATCATGGTTCCATAGAGTTATGGCCGTGGTACAGTAAACCGGATACTTGTTGACCAGAATTTCCTTTCTTTCCTCATTCTCCGGTGGTATATCCTTACAATAAACATCAAAATACTCAGTGGTGTTCACACCCAAGTCTTCAGTGGCCGACGCTTTACGGTTATACTCGGCAAACAGCTCCTGCCACAGGAACTGCTCCATGCGGTTGGCACGTGTGGCTGCAACCCAAACGTTAGTGTCTACGACACAAGAATAGATCTTTCTTACTCACGCAAAACCTTGTTTATTTTGGGCGGTCCATAGCTGATCTGCGACTCGGTGAACTCAATGGGGCACGGCCCGCGTGAATTTGGAGGATTCTTAACAGGTTCGGCCATTCTAATGGCTGCTGTGTATAACCGTAACTTTTTTTTTATTAAAACTAACGAGAATAATTTATTATGATTCTAGCAACAATATGACAATAAAAATACTTAAGGACTAGCCTACTTGTTCGACCAAACAACAACCGGTACCGGGCACCAGGCAACGACAGGTACTAGTGTCTAGGCAACAGATGTCTCTGGTTCCGAGACTGGTGGCGCATCGTCTTCTACGATAAGGGATACATCCCTGGGTCTCAGTATGCAATAGTAGACTATGAGCGTGGCCACGAACAGAATACCGCTGTAAAGTATCCACTCTGCGATGAAGCCGAACCACCAGGACTCGAATACTTCGTTGCCATACCAAATGGACGTCATGGCGATGTTCTCGACCAGCGTCAGCACTAGGAAACCGCCATACCAGAGCCGAATGCTCTTGAAGCACACGCGAAACTCAAGCAGCACAAAGATGTAGATGTAGGCCAGTAGCAGATAGAACAGCGTGCGGTTCCAGCTGCCACGACAGCGTGTCTCCAGGGCCAGGCACGCCAGCATCAGAGCATAGTGCACGCCCAAAACAATGAAGAAGGCACGTGGATAGAAGACGCAGAACGTGGAAAGTGCTAACATCCGCATCGTGATGAAGGCAATCCAGCCGAAAAAGGCCACGGTGCGGCCGGCAAAGTCGTCCTGCTGAATGCCATTCACGATTTTCGTGGGCCGCGGGAAGTAGAAGTCCACGACATCCTTGGGCGTCAGCGGGCTGCCATTTGGCATCTGTGCTCCTGGTGATCGTGCCACCAGCGGACTACGCTCCTCATCGGGCTTCTCGTTTACACGACCTATAAGCAGCTTGGGCGGACGTGGTACATGCTCCTTGATGTACAGTTGCGCATTGATCAGCAGCATATCCTTGAACGTTTCCAGCTGCGAGAGCGGTCTGGTCACCCGACGACTCCGCCGGTGATCGTTGTCCGACGCGGTTCGTCGCAGATCTGGAGCTGGAGGACCATCAGCAGAGGGCGTTAGCACTGGCAGTTCTGGCGGTGCTGTGACCGGCGGTGGAGGTGGTGGCGGAGTTTCGGGCACTGTGTCCAGCACCTCAATGGTGTCCAGATCCCCGAGCTCTTTCTGCCACAGCCGCAGCTTCGGTCTCGTCACCTGCAGCTTGTCATCGTCGGTGGCATTGCCTTTGGGTCCGCTGTGCAGCAGCGCCTTCGTCTCGAGCTGCTCCAAAGCTTCATTGTCGACCTCATCTTCACCCCGCAAGTGCACCTCGTGCGTTGCCACGCCTTGTGCCGAATCTATCGGCTGGCGTGCATGAAAGTTGGCCATGATCCGCTCCGACTCCGGAAAGCTGGCGATTGTGCGTTCCGACTCACGTTTCTTGCGCTCGGCATCGCAGCACAGGCGCTCGTTCTGCTCCAGCTGGCAGCGATGCGACTCAACCTGCTGTGGCGTGGCCCAGGGATAATGGCGACCCACGCGACGCTGGCTCTCAATGCGCTGGTAGCTGGTCGTTATGGCAGCCAAATCGATGGCCGAGAAGACCAGGGACAATGCTTGCACAGCGGCTGCAAAGGAAATGGATTGACATGGAGGCAATGTGAAGCCAGCAACCTACTCACAGGTCTCATAGTTGCGGAACAGATCCTGCTCGAGCATAAAGTATAGCTGCAGGATTATTTGAGGCGCTGCCTGGGCGTAGGCTTGGATCAGCAGATAAAGCTCAATGCTGGAGGTTTGAGTCGCCTTCTCCAAGCACTTCATGCGCTCCACATCGTCGTCGTCGTGGAAGAGAGCCTCAACGGACCAAAACAAGCGCATTGTGAACCTTACAGAGAAAACAGTCAGTGTCAGCACGGCCTTGACTCAAATATCCATCCACCTACCTGTACACCACAAAAAAGGGAAACAGAATAAGCCGCAGCAAACCATTGCCAAGGGCAAGGCACTTGTTCTGATTGGAGCTGGCGCTGCTACGCTGTTCCCGCGATGTAATCACCAGCAGGAATGTGAGTAAGGGCGGCACGAGCACCAGCACCAGTGTGCCAGCTCCATAGCCCACCGCATGCTGTCGGAAGTGCTGGTAGCTGAGTGCCAAATCCGATGCAGTCTGAGCAATGTACACCAGCAGCGCCAGACATGTTGGCACTATGTAGGATACGTAGATGCGTGTGCGACTCCGCACTGTATAGCCGAGTATGTGTGGCGGTGGACTGGCGGCATGTCCCACCTCCATTGCAATGATGTTGATGTCACCTGCGGTATGTGGATGGATTCCCCTTTGATTTTGTCGTTAGCTTCGCTTTTCTTACACCTGCAGCTTGCGAAATGCGTGCTGACACTGACCCGCTCAGAGGCTATGAGTAACCGCCGCTCTCCCAACATCGCTTGCCCCCTTATCAGTGGGTAGGGCTGTGGACCAAGATAAGATAATTGCCAACGTTTGTGTGGTGAGTAAATGGCAGTTTGCTTTCAGACTAAAAGCAGACCACTGAATGCATTCATTTAATTGAATTTTTGAATTTATTTCTTTTGAATTTGAGAGAGATTTATAATTAGAATACTCGTGTTTAGGTTTACATTACTGGCACCTAGGAATCGTACCAGGTTTTCTTCATCCAATTGGAAGGCTTGCACGGCTCGTCGAGCACCACAAAGGCACCCGGCGGATCCCTTTGGCTGCCATTTTGCTGTTTGCCACGCCGACCGCCCGCGTACTTGGGATTACCTTCGATGATCGACGATTTATCGCGGCAATTGGCCGCATTTTGCATCACGGAAGACCGCCTGCCGTATCGGGCTGGTTTCTTGGAATCGTTGCCACCCACATCCTGAAAGTTGGAGGCCACTGGCTGCGGCTCCTTCGCCAGACGTTGGCGCGAGGTTCTTCGCTTGTGTGAGACCTGCTGCGGATGCTGCTGTCGCGCTTCCAGCGATGAATCCGAACTCTTGCGAAGGTTGCCAACGACATCGTATTCCCGAGGTCGTTCTCTCAGCTGATAATTGTACTGAGCCCGTCGATACTCTGGCGTGGCGACCACCTCCGATGGCGGCACTGTGGTGCAGGTGGCAGGTTCGGGCTCTGCCTGATGATATTGCTTATCGGTGGAGGAGCCAATGCTGACATTGTGCACGCCCGAGTGTGGCAGACGGAAGGAGGAGGCCGGCTTGTGCACAACCGGACGGGAGCGTGGAAAATCCAAGTAATTATTGCGATACTCGGGATTAAATTCGATTTTGCCCCGCAGGCGTAAAAACGGCTCTCGGGCCTTGCCCCGCTCGGGCATTTCGGTGATTTGCGGGTCTCGGAAGCTCTCGTGGTATTCGGGAATCTCTCGGGTGAACTCGCCCCGAGGCCGCAGGTGATCGTCCGTCTTGAGTGATTTCTCTTTGGCCATGTGCTTGGGTGGGTCGATGAATTTGTCGCGATACTCTGCCACATCGGGCGCATGGCTGTGCCTAGGATCGCTGCCCCGCTCTGAGCCGGATACGTGCAGGTTATCGTCCTTCTTGATGGGCGCACTCTTCGAGTAGTTGGCGTACATCTTGAAGCTGTCCTTGTACTCCGGCACGGCCACAAAGTCCCCTTGGATCTTGATGTTGCTCATCTGCGGTATGGAGTGAGCCTTTTCCGGAAACTGCTGCACAAACTGTCGCTTGTATTCGGACGGCTCGGGCTGGTGATCCACGGCCTGGGCGCGCATCTGCAGGTGACAACGCTGCTGCTCCTGGGCGGCCACATCGCGCTTGAACTTCTCGGAGGCCAAGCTTCTGGATGCCGCCTGGCTCTCATCGAGGAACATTTCACGCGGTAGGATCTTTGTGCCTGCGTCCAGCATGGGCGCCATCAGATAGGAGGACTTTTTCATGCTGCTCTCGCCATCGGCGTCTCCGCCCAGCTGCAGATTCTCTGGATTGCGTACGGGATAGCTACGGGAACTTCCAGGAATACCGATTAATTTTTGACCAAGGAAATCTTTACAGATTTCACTTACAATTTGAGATCTTCGGGCGTGTACCAGTGATATTTGTCTTGGTGCTCCGTCAGCAGCTGCATGAATCCCTCCAGATGCAGCGATGTCGCGCGCCTCAGCAATGTCCTGGGTCTGGATTGGCCGGCAATGCCGTGGCAGTGATAGTGCCGTCGGTACTCAGACTTTAGCGAGCCAAACGACACCACAGGCTCATCGCTATTGTGGAGACAAACGTTGCTCTGGGTGTGCAGCTGGACAGGCTGGCGGCGGCGGAAGTACTTGAGATCGTCTACGGCTATATACTCGTGCGGATGCTTGATGTTGAACCGACTGAGATCGCCGTGCTTCTGGCTGGCTGTAAGATCGGGCTCGGAGAAGGAGCGATTCCAGCCAAAGTCGGCATCAAAGCTGCAAAAGAGAACAGAAAAAAAGTGGATAGCAAGTCAGAATATGTCTGCGTACATCCGAATCGTCTAGTCTTTAGAGCAGAACTGAATAGAAAAACTTTTAGCCATTCTTCATTCGACCGTTGGCGTTGGCAGCACAACCAAAATAACAGACGAGGGCGAGTCCTTTAATAATGGGGGCACCTAATGCCTTCCCTCAACAATTGCAAATGTCGGAGTCTCCCGCTTAGAGTCTAGCCAGTCAGCCAGTGAAGGCATTTCCACCCACCCATCAGCCATGACGTGCCATGGCAAATGTTGCTAGGCAAAAGGCAAAAACTAAACTGAAAGAATAAGGAAAATGCATGAGAAATTGATGCAAATTGGAAAATTGTCTATTTGATATGTCTGAGGCAGTACAAAGGTTGCCAAAAGTAAAGATTCCCTAACCCATGCTACATTCCAATCGATGTCAATCAATAGCACCACGGACTGGAGCTCTGTGTTGTTGTTATCCCTGACAACGCCCCCACACAACACTCACACGATAATCCCAATACGGAAATGGGTGTTTGTCGAGCCATTGTCAAGGACTCGAGGCATTAAAAATGCACGACAGGATGTCCACCCCCAACTAATGGTGGGGCCTGGGGTTAGTGCAACCGCAAGACACCTGTTGCCCTTAATGCATATTCTTGGCGTCTGAAAGGGTCGCCCTGTCGCACTCTCGAGCGTGTAGAAATATGGCAGACTCGGGCTAATGGATGGCTGCCAAAATGTTTCATATTCTGTAGCCCAAATTCTGTTGCATGTCGAGGGAGTGTGCGTGCCTTTCCTGGCTGCCTGACTGACTAGCAGCCCAAACAGCAACGGAAACAGACAGAAGCATTAAAGGGCTAGGCGAAAGGCGAGCAAATCATGTCGGTCTGCGTCTGACCCAATTCATGCCGACTACTTAAAGGAAAGGGGCGCCAGCCAGTCCTGCTTGAGTTTGCCGACTAATCTTGACAATGCCAAATGACCTTTGGCTATTTTTAATCGCGCTACCAGTGGCGGCAACCCATTTAAATATGCTAATCAGAGCTGGCTAACTTTGTGCCCCATTCCATGGAACACCCTGTGCCGGTTGGGTGCGGTAGGGCAAGGTACATAATTACAGTTGCAGATTTATGACGCTTTAATTGCTGTTACAAATGCCAGTCACGCCACACGGCGCGTATACGTATTGCAATAAACAAGAATGCAGCAACTTATGCTAGCCATAAACAAGACATGAACGCCAAGGTCAGTACAGAACAACGCTTTATACTTTTATGATACTTATTCCTAAGCAGAAGCGTCTCCTTACCCGTCGTTGCTTTTCCAGTCATAAGCTATCGCCATGGCTGTGTCGGGGTTTTGGGGGGATTGGAGTTTATGGACTGCACTTTAATTGAACACATTAGTTGGGTTTGCACTTTAATGGAACAGTTTCAAGCACTCTGCGGGGGGTGTCTGTCTGCACACCAGACCGGACGCGACGACCAGTGGCAGACCACGGCTGTGCCTGCTCCATGCCGTACCGAACCGAACCGAAAATGACGCCATTCAAGCGCAGCTCGCCGAACCACAACTTGACCGCTCAGATCGTAAATCCCAACTGAAATAGTGGAAAGAAGTTTGCCAGTTTTTCGCACGCCAACTTCCAAAAGGGCTGGCCGCCCAGCGCTTCTTCCACGGCGACTGACGGTGTCACTTTTGTTTTTCGCCTGGCACGCGGAATGCCACTGGCGGAATGGTGTGGGACTGTAGAGGGTGTCGACTGGTGCGAAATAATAACAGCGAAAATAGGAAAAGGTTTTCATGTTTGGGTTATTTATAAACTCCCAGAGGGTAGAGGAAAGCTTCTTCGATCAGTCTCCCTTTTGCTTTTGCCATTTGTTTAGCGGGTATCTCGTAGTCGGAATACGGCACTGCAGCATTTTCTGCATGTTGCATGTTGGAGTGGGGCGCTTGACTCCAAGTGCTATTACATGCCATCGAGCAGTTTGTAGCTTCATGGCACTCCTCTTTCAGTTGCCAGCTGCCAGCTGCAGTTGACTTGAATATAAAATTTGAGTTTTGATTTCAATTTCCACTTCCTCGCTGCACCTGTCAGACGCGAGTTGAGTCTCTTAACCCAGTTTTTGGCAGCTGTGACGCCTCGATAATGAAATCGTGTTTCTGAGTAGCAGCCCTAAAAGAAAACCATAAAGAGGCGCACATTTGCCTGATTTACTCGCGTCTTAACGATTTCATTTCGCGACGTGGTTTCCATCATGATAATCATTTCCTTTCCTCCTACTCGCCCGGCACGCAACTTGGAGCTCCGCTACACCCACGTATCGTACATGGCTTTCAATTGTCATGAGCAGCTTTGGCTTCCGGGGCGCACCTCCCCGACTGGCGGATGCAGGTCAAGGCCGAATCAATTCACTTGCGGAATCGGAATGGATGCCGCCCCGCCCCCGCAGCCATACGGCGAAATGAAGATTAATTGTGGATGGTGGCGTCTACTTTTATTTTGCGTCTACATTTATGCTAGCTGTGTGTGTGCAGGGTGTGTTTGTGGTGTGCAAAGTCAGACCTTGGATAGGCCCTCCCAGCGATCGGGCACTGTCAGAAAGTAACGATCCATGGCATCAATGAAACGGTGCTTATAGCGCTCTGGTGACACCACCGTGGGGTCTTTGCCCTTGCCACCCAGCAGACCCGACTGCTTAAAGATCGACTCCATGCGCTTGTCCAGTGTAAAGGTGCGAATGTAGTCTGCAAGGGAATAAATGTGAGCATGCCAAGAGCCATTCCTCTGCCTTTGTGCACACTCACCTATGATGCCGAGGACCAGCATGCTGTTCTTCCTCTCCAGACCCACCAGCAGGGAGTAGTCCATGACGCCATTTCGCTCCAGGAACGAGCAATCCCGCTGAATGGCGTCTCTTAGAACGGTTTTACTGTGCGACAGCACGTACAGAGGCTTCGACCAGGACACTGCAAAAGGAAATCGAATGACGAACAGTTCATATTTCGAGAGGCTGCTACTCACTCTGCACCAGATTCTCGTCCAGCAGCACAATTTCGCCTTGCTGATTGGTTGGGTCCACCAGTCGATTGCGCTCGGAGCCTTTCAGGTCAAATTTGTTGGAAATTTCACAGCCGTAGAACAGATTCTCCATGACCATCACAGAGCGTTCCACAAAGGAGCTGCCAAAAGAAACGAAACAGGATAAAGGATTAGCCAAAGGACACAAGTCTAAGGGAACTCTTTCTTACTCCTTCTTCTTGACGCTAACTTTGAACACGCCAAAGATCTTGGCCAGCAGCGTGGGCAGCTGCAGCTGCTGGCACTTGGCAATGTACTCAAAGTACTTCGGGGCAAAGGGCTCAAAGATGGTCATGTCCTTCGAGTTCATCTCCTTGAGCACAAAGCGATCATCTGCGGTAGTCCAAAGCGAATAAAGAAAACCATTTTATGGCATTGCATTTCATGGCAATAACCTACCTAATGTCTTGCAGAAACGCGATCCAGACTTGCCGCCGCGTGCCTCCCACTGCACACTGTTGCACAGACTGCGAGCCAGGGCGATGCGTGACTCCTCCTCCATGTCCGTCGCATGCTCCTCCGAGGCTCGTGCCAGAGGCGGGACACCGCTGACGTCGCTGGGTTTGCGCACCAACTCCATTTCTGAGCCCGTTCGACTTTGTGAGATTCTCAGCTCCTCCCGCATCTTGCTCTTCTCCAGCTTTCGGTACAGCGATCTGTCCAGCTTCGGCGGCTGCAGGCTCTTGGCTCGCATGCCATCAAACTCGCGAGCAAAGTAGATCTTGCAGTGGAACTGGCACCCATTGTCAGTGAATGCCAGCGACACGTGTGGACTCGGTGATTGTGGCTGCGCCTTGGTGCGCTCCTTAACCTTCTCCTCGGATTCGTTAGCGGTGCTGGCAGCAGCGGGAACCACTCCCCCTGGCGTGGCACTGGTGTTGCTGGAGGTGCGCGACAGATTGGGGCTGCTCTCTTCGGCATCGCTCAGGCCCTCGGGCAGCGGCACTTTCCGCTTAAGCAGCGGACTGGAGTGGCCAGCAGCTGGGGCCTCGCTGCTGCCGCTGCAGGTACTGAAAGCTTCGTCCAGGGCGCGCTGATAGTCGGCCGAGGTCAGGCTGTAGGCGATCACAGAGCTGAGATCGCTTTCGCGCACATGAATGGGAATAGAGCCCAGGGGCAGGGTGAGATGATCCTGGGCAGGGAACGGAGACTGCAGCGGGTTGGCCTGATTAGTCGAGGGCAGCAGCTGTGTAAGGATGCTCCTTATGGACTTTTTGTCCGAGTGCACGCTCGCCGTGGAGGCCAGCAGCTGATCGATGGAGAACTTCTTGTCCACGACCGGTTGACTGCCGACAGCCGCCTCTGTGTCCTCCGACGGACACTCCACTGGGGCGATGCTGCTGCCGTCGTCCCCTGCTAGAGCTGGAACCTGCTCCGGCCGCAGCTCCTCGGTGCATATGGTGCCCGCATCGATGTGATGGACAACAGCCTGCTTCGCAGACAGCTTCTGGGCCACCAGCTCGATCTCCAGCAGCCGTGGGCCCCACAGCTCAATGCTCTCGGCCAGAGCACGCCGTGCCATGGACAGAGCGTCGTTGATGTCGTACGCATTGGCCCGTCGCTCCGTCAGCAGCGTGTGGACAATCTCGATCTTCTGCTTAAAAATAAACTGATCGTGAGTGAGCATCGTCTTTAGGTTCTGCACCAGCGGCGTGTTCTCGTCCTCGGTGGCCAGGTCGGCGATGCGTTCGTGGATCCGCGTGTACACCTCGTGGCCGCGCACCGAGAAGTGCTTGATCTCCTCCTGCACCTGGTTTCCCTGGAAGGGACGCGGCTGATCCAGCTGCAGGGTCAGCGGTGGCAGATCTGTCTCCCACACCTCGACGGGCGTGTACTGGAACTTGGCGCCCACGCCACGGAAGCTGAAGTGGTGCACGTAGTCGCGGTGGAGCGAGTGCTCGCAGGGAGGGCTCTGGTCGGCATCTGCAGGCGGCCGACGCTTGTAGGCGTGCCCATGGAAGCGCATTTCCAGGTACTTGGCCAGGGAGAGGCACTTGGCCGAGTCCGAGAGCGGAACGGTGGGCGTGGTGGCGTTGCAGATGCTGCACCATGAGGTGAAGTAGATGCGCTTGGGGTCGGAGCGTGTCAGGTCCTCGGTGAGGTAGACGTGCACGCAGCCCAGCGAGTGGACGTAGCGTCGCACATGGCCCAGCATGGGCAGGTTGCAGGAGGGGCACATCGAGTTGAACAGGCAGCAGTAGCGCTGCAGGAACTGCTCCAGCATAATGTCGTACTGCCCGTAGAACTTCATGTCCAGCAGCATGGGCAGCTTGCAGAACGAGGACACACCCTTGGGGTTGTAGTGAAAGCTGCAAAAGAGCACGGGCAGCCGCTGATGGTTCTGCGGATCCAATGCGTCTCTGTACAGCTGCTCTTCGCTCACCTTCTGCGGCCTCTGGATGATCTCGGGCAGCTTCTTCTTGGGCCTCAGCACTGTGAGGAAAAAGGAAAACGATTTACAAATGATTTTCTAGCTATATTGAAGCCTTACTTGGCGCCTTGCCCTTGGGAAAGCGACCGCCAAAGGATCGGAACTCGGCGAGCTTGGTCTGAATGTCGCGATTGGTGGCTGGCGCCGTCAGTTTCATCTTTACAAACTCGTGCGCCGGCAGCAGCTGCAGCTGCTGTTCGTTTTCCTTGTTGCCCAGCTCCGATTTGGCTTCAGTGTCGCCGCAGCTCTCGGAACGCTCCTGCATCGGCGGTGCTCCTGCCTGCGACCACTGCTTGGAGAAGTAAAGTTCGGTGGGAAAGAGTTTTCGCAGCCTACAGTTGCGTCCCTGCTCCGTCTCCAGGTAGGGCAGCGGAAAGGTGAGGAAGGGGCTAACCGAGAGCAGCGTGGAGCTGAGTGCAGTGCGGAAGCGATTATCGTAGCGGGTCTCCACGGCCAGAGCCTCCACCACGGGCAGCACATTGCTATTGCTTGGCGATGTGGACAGAGTGTCAGCTTCTGTCGATCGCAGCGGATCGGTGAAGTCAGCCACATTCTCAACGACAATGGACGTGACTTTATCCTCCGACTTGCGTTCCGCAATGGGCTGTGGCTGGGGCTGCCGCTTGGACGATCCAGTTCGGAGTTCCGCCTCTGCCTCAGTTTCGGTATTGGGACTCGCCTCCTTTGAATCGAATATCGAGGCCTTGGGGCTGAGCGGCTGCGCAAACTCGTTCAGCAGAAAGGACATCTCCAGGCGCCAGTTGTAGCGGGCAAAGAGAAGGGCCGATGCCACACGCTTGACGCGCGTGAGCTCCGAGTTGCTGCCACCGCGCAGCAGACAGGTGTAGCCCCGAGGACTGGTTAGCTTCTCGAAGAACATCAGCGTCTTGCCGTTGTAGCTGCGGATGTAGAAGTCGTTGCAGTAGCCCAGCTTCGGCATGGTGATGTTCGACTCGATGGAGCTGACAATGTCGCACTGGAGGGTGCGCGACAGACGCTCCATCACGGACATCTTCACGTCTAGCACAAGAGTCACTCCATAGGAGCGCAACAGGTCCTGGGCAATGCCGGCCAC